GCAAACATATCGGTTTTAATTACATGAATTTACATGCAACTAATGAGAGCCAAATATCTGCATCTTAATTCTTAGTCTTTTTATTACTTAAACCTGAACAGTTGATAAGATTGAAAAAGAAATTAATTAAATTGGCTGATAATTAATCAACGTACTTTTCTAAATTTCATTAAATAAAAAAATCGTGTCGATTTAATTATTGTAATACTGAGAGGCATAAGACTTTTAGTAGGTTGTAGAAAGATTTAGCTGTTATAACTTCCGCTTCCACTTCTACCGGAGACACATCTAAGATGACTTTGATAGCATGGTCTTTGATTTCGCAGTCTGGCTACCGAAAGACTAAACCAGTCACGTATGATTTCTAGAACCAAATCTTAATGACCCGAATGCTGACCGCCATCTAGGAGTACCCTACATCCCACTAGTAAATACTTAGCAGCTCCCACAGTCTTCACACAGATATAACAAGGTTATTAATACCCTTACCCCATGTTCTTAAAATACTCTCATCTGGGACAGCCTTTTGAAACGCATTGAGATAAAATTTTAGCAGTACTGGCGACCAATCATGAATTAAGGTTAAATATAGGTAATAAAATTGTAAACCGCCGGATTTTAAATTCAAAAGTTTAATTGTCAATGTCAAATGATCCAAGTTTTTTGAAAGCGTATGTCAAATTAGCTTATGCAAAACCATGTTATATAAAAAGTTTTTTGCCCAACATTGAGCTGAGAAATAATTTGAATAAAATAATAAATTTTATTTAAATGTCGACAAATTATTTAAATTTTTTCGTTTTTTTTCGTTTTTGTATGAATATACATATACATATGTTCGTACAAAAATTGTTTTCCACTTTTATATCGATTTAATAAAAGCAAATTACGTAATCCAATTACTTTATGTCATGATTTCGGTAATTAAATCAGGCCCGCTTAAATTTTAATACATATTCATGAAGCTTCTCTTGCCTTATGTTACGTTTTTATCCGAAAACGTATTAAAATTTTATTTTATATCTTATTACAAGTTTGGTTTGGAAACTCATAATGTTTTGTGGATGTACGAATGGAAAACTGCTGACTCTCTCTTTTTAAAATTCCTTCAACATTCCTAGTATGCGTTTTCATTATCAAATCAGTAATCACTATTGTAAATCAGTTTTGACTTAAAAAAAACTGGATTAGGTGTCTTGAAACAGGAGTTTTTAAGAGAAATAGTAACAAATAAGCACATATACAATTACTTTTGGGTAATATTCACGAAATGCCGAAATTTGGCTATCTTAAAATGACAAAAAATATTGATATAATTTGATATTTATTTTATGTGAATTTGATAGTACTAATGTTACTAGAATTTAATTATATGGTGGTCCCAAAAATAATTGCGTTTTATGAAAGTTATGAGGACTAAAAAAAAACAAAGTGAGAGAATGACAACAATTTAAATATTGATCTGTATAAAGTTTAGAGATAAAATAACAAATTATATTTCTAAATTCTATATTTATTTATATTAAATAATTCATATAAAAAATACGTCGAAGTTTTGTTATTCGTGTATTTTTATTATGACAAAAATTGGGGATAACTTAGGGGCCTCGTCGTAATTAAACTTCGACGAAAATCGAAAAAATAATTGATTATGAGATTATATAAATGTAACTAGTTGTTTATTGCATACAAATAATTAGTCAAAAACATTTTAAATCTGTATTAAATATTGGTCTTTTAAAATATATCTGTATAGATTCTTTTTAAGAATACGTAGATACGTAAATATTTACCTACACACGAGTTTATTATTCGAGGTTAAAAAATAGGTATTATCTAAATTCTACCTATATATACATAAATATACAGACAGCGCGTGGTACCAAACAAAATATAGTAAAGAAATTATTACACAATACTAGATAAAATTTCGAATTTTCAAACCATTTGATATAAGATTAAAATTATCCTTATCATATTGACTTTCATATTTTTGTTAATCATAACGATGAGCAAAAAACATACATAAATTTCTGGTCTCTTATGAAATCTAGATTTTTTCTTATAATATTGCAGAATTAATTTATCAAAATATATAATCATAATTACTATTCCTTGACCATGTAGGTATGTCAGTGGTTGCCTAGTGGTTAAAAGGCCTGCCCCTCATGCATCAGGACGCGGGTTCGCTCCTGGCAAGTACCAATGTGATTTTTCCGAGTCATATGTACCTATTTTCTAAGAGTATTTAGATATCACTGATTAATGCATTCCTAAAGTGGGTTGATGTCAGGCAGGCGGCCGGTCGTATAAACAATTAGCCAAAACTATTCACAACATGTAAGGCAAACCCTGGCTAAAGCTGGGAAATTGCCAGGTAGAAGAAGAAGACCATGTAGATATGTCTTAATGATTTTCTTTCCACCATTTATACTCATAGACCGAATTTTTCTCACATTCAACAACATTTTCATCACCTGAATACCTCAAATCATCGATCGACAATCTTATCGTTTTTCTAAATTTGGATATATGTTATCATTAAGTTAATCTACGTCTGATAACTATATGAAGGGCACTAACTGACATTATGTCTGAAAAGTAGGAAATGAAACAGTTGACACGATGTTTCAAATACAAACAATGAAGAACTAAACCATGTCGACTCAATATGTCTTGATCTTTAATTGAAGATCTATGAACACAAGAATATGAGAGTTAAATTAAGGGAAAAGATTACAGATCAATGAATTTAATAAAATAGTTTTAAAGAAATGAGGGAATTATATTTAGTAAATTGGAACTTTCTTTTATTTATGTATGTCATAAAAATATATTAAAATATATTATGAGGGCAGATTACTGTATTGAAAATATTGACTTCTAAAAAACTATTTTTAATCCCATGTAACTTAAACGACACAAAATATTTTATTAAAAAATTATTCTATTAAAACAAATATAATACAAAACGACAAAAAAAATTAACAAGTCATCAAATTTTCGGACTGAAGTAACATTTGAATAATTTATAACTCGCAGTTTCATCCAATAGAAGGACTATCCACTTTTTTAAGTATTTTAATAGTATTAAACCGATCGCTGTTTAAGTCAGTTGCAATACTAAGGATGTTTTTAACAGCAAAGCAAATCCAGTTAAACGAGTAATTATAATCATACCAGTAATGTTATGTAGATCAATGATCGCTGACTACATGTGGAGTCTGGAAAGTGAAGGCTTATATATAACGAAATATCTACTAGAGTATAAAATAATATATATAAAATAAAGTCGTGTTAGTTACACTATCTATTACTCAACAATGACTGTACGGATTTGCCTGAAAATTGTTGGAGAGATAGCTTAGAACCGGGAGACGGACAAAGGATACTTAATTATTTACGGCCTTCAGGGTGGAAATTGGAATAGAATTGACCTGGTCAGCTATATATATATGATTCCGAAATTAATGCGGACGAAGTCGCGGGCAAAACCTAGTATATATATCACAAAGAGCACGGCGCATACAATTGCATTTATGCACTGGATCCCCTCAAACAATGTATGTGAATTCTTTTTATCGATCAGATGGAATGCTTATCACCTTATAATTTATTTATTAACAATATATAATATTTATCTTTATGACAGCTATTTTATTACTCACAGCTGTAACATTCCTAAAACATGTCATAGATATGTTTGTATCATAGCAAGATAATTTGGAGTCGGTTCCAATATCGTTCGTCATCACAGCTTTGACTTTGAATACGTTGATGATAAAAGAAATGAGAATTTACAGAAACAACTGCATATTATATTCAGCTGGAGGAAATGTGCTTATTTAAATGATTTTTTCATATAATTATAATGTAATATATAATTATTTTAAGTTAGAATATTTACATAAGTTGTTCTTTTCAATACTTTTAGTTTAAATAGCTTTGAAACACTGGAAAACTTTGAGCATTTTATTTTTTAAAATTTTGTATACATACGTTAGAGATTTTTTGAAAATAATTAATAATTTAATTGTTTTTTATTGGTATATATATAAATAATTGGGAGAAAACTGAGCAAGCTATTAGGAATCCTCTGTACTTCATACAACTCTAATTTAAGTCAAGATGCTTTTTACTAAATTTATTATAAAATAAGGAATAATTAATGAAGTAATAATAAATCAATGAGAAATTATTCTCCATTTTATAAACGTATTACAACTAATTACAAGGATCTGATCAAACTTACTCCTAATATAGCTTCCGTCATTCATAAAACCTCCTTTTAAATTTTAAATATTTTCAGGAATAACAACAATTTCTTAAATATTGTTTTCTTTTTGTCGTCTTGTCTCTCCAGTATAATAACAGTACTAGTATTTACTTTAACTCATGTATTTTTCATCAATAACACCGGCGTTGTTAGAGGCTAGCGGCTTCCGATAAGAAACTTTTGGCTCATAATCTGATAAGTTAAAATACATATATTAGGGATCATACACACGGACGACTGTCAGTATACAGAAATATCTGTCTATTGTACATCAATGTATTATTTTATTTAAATCTCGCTGTTAATAAGAGGGTATATAAAACTCTTATTTAATAAAAAAATTAATATTATTTGAATAGAATACTTTGACGTAATTTTCCATAATAGCCATAGATTACTTTATCTAGAATATGCATTGTAATTGTAATTACACATGATGGTACAGAATGAGTCATAATTAGAAAATTAATTTGTGTTTCGCGTGTTCATCCTTATACGTTCTAACCTTTGTTGTATAAAGATAATTTTTATAAACAAATTCTGCGACATTATTGTCGTACCTCAACTCTGTTCCTTAAGTTCAGTACCGACTGAATGACGATTTATGTAAAAGTCTGTGATCGTTCGTAGTGTATGCACGCTGTAAATAATATTGTTTACGTTTGGTATTTAAAGTGTTATTTACGTAAATTTACAGTGATTGCGTTCCCGACGAGCTGTTAAGATGGTTGTCAGCAAGAACAGCATGTGGTTCGTCGGTTGTGGGATGAGTTTGGTCGGATTTGGCGTCCTCATGAGCGCGACTTGGTCACTGGTTTTTCAGGAAAAGATCAAAAATGTAAGTTTCATCACATATTTTATTAGATTCTAATAATTTTCTTTGTTCCCCATATAACCATTTTTATTTATTTGAATATATTTTTTCACGTCCAGATGATTTTGTATCGATAATAAGGATTTTATCACAGACATTATCTGTATTTTAAACTGTGATAAAACACAAGACCTCTCATAAATTTCGGACACCTTCCACTGAATGTTATTCGTATTTTGAAGGTCTTAGATAATGTGTTCTAAAAAGAATGGGTCATTTGACGCTATGATTGTGGTGTAAATTCTAAGTAGAAAGTATTATATGGATGAAGTACCTAAAATCAAGCCTAATAAGTGTCTAGGGATAATTATTCAAATCTTTCCTAAATGTAATAATCAAATCAGCATATCTTTTGTCACAATTGTAGTTTACTCTCTCATTGAGTATAACAAGAATTTCACCCTTAGATAGTATTTCTTCTAAATTACTTAATGAAGGTCATACTCGCCCCCTTATTTCAACTGCAGTACTTACAGTACTGTAACCATTAACTTTTACGAGATCCGTGGAAACTCACGTAAGAGATCTAAAAACTATTTTCTATCAATTCCTTCCAATGCTCAACTTGTGGCTTCTCCTAAGATATTAATCCTCTAATCCGGTGCTAAACATAAAATGCAAATTTTTCCCATATCGTATACTGTAAACTTAACTACGCCGTGTTAAAAAACAAACGTGAATCAGTAATCTAAATTTCTTGTGACGTATTTTGTATTGTTGGATCAATTTAAGATCAAAATCTTATTTCAAGAAATGCAGACAATTATTTAAACGTTACCCAGTCTTATGCCTCACATTAAAAAGCCTGGTTTTTTAAACATCCGTTATTACTAGATTAACATTATTAAATAATTATTTATTTTGACTCTCTACTCCTTATAAAAACAACAAAAAGTACTGGGATAGCATTAAAGGGTGTTTCATTTCAAATCAATACAACAATTTATTATATGAGATTAAACGTTTGCCAGTAAGCGAATAAAAATTTTGTTTCAATGACTCTCCCTGTTAGCTGATAATATTTTTTCAATATAATGATAGATTGCCTTCGGAAACAAATGATATGTCAAATTATTTCCGACTCAAACAATGTGTTCATAATAAAATCGCATATATTATGATAATGTATTTATTGCAATAAAAATAGACATTAGTCTGTCTGCGATCAATTATATTTAATATTAGTACGTATTAATCTTACTTAAATGTAAAAAGCGTCTTAGAATTTGATGATTAAAACTATAAAAACAATCAAGAATTAAATGTCGTTAAGTAAAAATGTTCGCAATTTTGTCAAGTAAACAGAAACCTTTATTGACATAGTAACTTTAATTTCAGATGATGGTCCTCAGAAATGGTTCGACGTCTTTTGAGATCTGGCGAGATATACCCATTCCAATATACTTGGAGTGTTTTCTATTTAACATCACGAATGTGGCTGACATTCTGATGGGTAAGAATGTTCCTATACACGTCGAAGAACATGGGCCTTACGTGTTCAGAGAAAGAAGTACCAAGGTCAGTTCAAGCAAAGCATGTAAGCAAAGCTAACTTAATTGGAAATAAAAAAATAGACAGTTAATTATTACAATAATATATTTTCTGCCAAAAATATAAAAATGTGTCCCTAAAGTTCATATAATTGTTTGAGGAAAAATAAAAAAAAGTATTTAATTTAATTAATCTTAACTATTATGTACATTTCAAAAATATATATTTACAAAAAAAAAAAACTCATTAGAATTTATTTTTAGGAATGACATAATTTTATTTATTAATAATGATATCCAAAATTGACGATAAAAGATGAGCAATAAAAAATTACATTTAATTTTTTTTTCTAAAATATCAAAAAACTTCCATATTACAAGTTGGTATAAATATAAAACTTCAATAAAACAATGTAGTGACAAAAATTTAATCAAAATTGTCTGGCACCATTACTCTTTATAATCTGTCACTTAATACCAACGCGAATAAAACATAAATAAATAAATAAAAACAAAATAATTCATATATTTTAATGACATTTAAAGATCAATCAATTCAAATGAGTCTCGATGCTTATTCTAATTTGACATCGTTACATTACATATGAAAAGTTTTTTATTTATAAATATTTTCACATAATATTAACGTATGTTTTTGAAACAAACGGGAAATGAGTAGTATGAAGTGTCACAATTCAACGAATGCTCTCATTTGTAAAGTGTTATTACAACGACATAATATTATATGGATTCTTAGCTTGTTATATCATAACGGAAATTATAATAAAAGTATTATAAAAGGGTGCTATAAAAACTATAAAATTAACACCCTAAAATCTACTACAATTTTTTTATTTAAAATTCGAGTACCTCCTCCTTAATTACACTTAATTTGTTTAAAATCATAGTATTATACTTCAGTTTTATTCGTATGTTCGTAATAAAATGCGTATTCTATACAACTCTACTTACTATTAGTTATTACAGCAACAGACAATTTTGTTTCGGTCGATAAATTATTAATATACACATACAAATACCTTCAATTTGGATATATATGTTAAAATAAGGAATAGACTTTAATTTCAAAGCATAATACACATATACATATATGGGGCCAATAATTTATATATTTCAGGTAAACATAACATGGAATGATAATAGTACGGTGACGTTCAGAAATCAAAGGTTCTGGTACTTTCAACCGGAGATGTCAAACGGGAGTCTCTCTGATCTTATAACTAGTATAAATCCTATTATAGCTGTGAGTATTAAAAAATATCATTATTATATTATTTTAAAACACATATCTACAATATAATATAACTAGTTTTTGCCCGCGACTTCCTCCGCGTTAATTTCGTCATTAGTAATATAGGTATAGCTGACCGGGCAAACTCTATTCCGTCTTCAATAACCCGGTATTGGTATTTATTAAATTTCTACTGTTTCAATGATTGACATATTAGTTGGTTATCAAGTCTAATGTCAAAAAATCGTTTGTATGGGAAATAGAAAAGGGCTGTTTTTAGGGTTTTCCCGGCAATTATTCCAATTTTTCTCACCTTTTAAACCTTTCCTGGACTTCCAGGAGTATTTCAAGACTAAAATTAGCCAAATCGGTTCAGCCGTTCTCGAGTTTTAGCGAGACTAAGGAACAGCAATCCATTTTTATATTGTATACTAGTTTTTTCCCGCGACTTCGTCCGCGTTAGTTTGGTCAAGAGTAATATATGTAGGTATAGCTGACCAGGCGAACTCTATTCCGTCTTAGAGGCCATAAATAATCAGGTTTTTCCTGTTTCAATCAAACAGAATGTTTGACATATTAGTTAGTTGTCAAATATAATGTCAAAAAAAACGTTTGTATGGGAAATAGAAAAGGGCTGTCTTTAGGGTTTTCCCGGCAATTATTCCAATTTTTCTCACCTTTTAAACCTTCCCCAGACTTCCAGGAGTATTTCAAGACTAAAATTAGCCAAATCGGTTCAGCCGTTCTCGAGTTTTAGCGAGACTAAGGAACAGCAATCCATTTTTATATATATAGAAGATAGAAGATTATTCCTGAAATCACCATATTTTAATTCATTTATATTATCTTTTTATCTTTTCACAATATTAAAAAGGAAACGGTGATCTTACTATTTATATTTTAGTTATTCATATAAAACAATATAAAACCTCTTTTTAATTAATTCTGTCTCAATGACAGTTATTTCAAAATCATTGATCGCTCTTCACTCTTATCAGACATCACACTCGACACTTGAAATTATAAATATAGTTAAGTATTTAATAAAAAACTTGTAATCAAATATTATACATGATAAAGTAATGAGAACAAATATTAGTTAATCTTGTTTGTATGTCAGGTAATAATAACGTAATTGGGGAAATCGATCGGTCATTTGAAGAACGGTTTCAATCAACTGTTTGTAGACCTATTTATATAGAAGTTATAAAAATAACTTAATTTTTCCTTTGAAATTAAATAATAATTTTGTTCATATTATCTTTGATAAAAATCACTGGACTGAATTATATGCAATTATTTATTATATTCAGTTTCATATAATATCAACTGATGAAGCACTTATCGAAAAGATTTGTCAGTTTTTCTGAATTATTAATTTACAGTTATTGGCTTTACAGTTATTCTGAATTATTAATTTGGTAGACTGAAAGAAACATTTATTTAGTATTAAAAATGAACACGACAAAAAAAATAAATAAGTGTTAAAATACATAACTCAAGCATTGCTCTTTTTTTCACACCTATTCGAAAATTACATTCATTTTGTTAATAAAATAAAATTAATTTAAATTTGTTTTTATCAAAAATATTAATATTAAGTTTGTGACACTACGGTTTTCCGTTTCAGACAATCGCTTATACAGTTCGTAATGAGCCGTTGATGCTGAAGTTCATTATTGACGTTACTTTGAGAATGTACCATCGAAATATGTTCGTGACTGCGAACGCTTCATCATGGCTGTTCGACGGAATCCAGGATCCCATCATGGATCTGGTCGAAAATATGCCCAGCTTACCTTACACTATACCATTTGATAGATTCGGCTGGTTTTACAAAGTAAGCACGACTTATATTCACAGAGAAATGGACATTGGAAGTCATTACATCAGATCTAAGACTTTCGCGAGCATTCATTGAAACGATACTAATGTCTTTCGGATTTTGCAGCCGTTATCACGGTTGCTGCAGAGTAATCAAAACAACAGCTTTATGTTCTTAAAATCCGAAAAATATTAGTTTCATTTCAAGTAATTACATTTATTACAAGCTAAACAAATCAAAAATATATTTTCGATAACTTCATCTGGGCTTTACAATTGTGTAGTTCCTAGAAAATACTAAAATATTTTATATACATACTAAAAATCTGTTAAACAATGAATATCATAAGGAAATGTCACACTGTCAGCTATAATAACAAAAAAAAACGATATATTTATAAAACATTGGTTTCTTGATTCCAGCGTAACGGATCAGTAGACGCGACTGGACTCTTCCTGGCTCACACTGGAGCATCAGACTTCACCAAATTGGGACACACGCTGAAATGGAACAACTCCAATAAGACGGTGTTCCGTGGACAATGCGGAGAAGTCCAGGGTACGACTGGAGAACTGTGGAACTTGGAGAATAATGCGCCTGAGATAAAAATATACGCCGCTGATCTATGCACGTTGGTGATTCACTTTTATTACCCCTTTTTTACAAATCTTAATTTCATATTAACAACTTTCACCGAATAGCCATTCTCAAGCTTAAGCTGAAAAAAATATATGTACATTTTAAAGCGTCATTCACTTTGACCTTTGTGTATAAAAAGCTTAAAAAGATTAATTACTTAACAGTTTTATGATACCCATGTAATATATGTAGAGACTGAAATATTATGCGAATGATAAGCATCTGATAAAAAGATATGATAAAATGCAATGGAAGAATTTTACCGGCCATATGACTAACATTTTAAACATTCACTTACTAATACATACTGAGTCAGTATAAAAAAGGGTATATTTGTATAGCTATATTTTGAAAGACGCTTCTTTCATATTTAAAATTGTTTTTTATTACTCCACAGCTAAATGAAAGTCATTGAAGGAATTATTTGTATTTTATGTCACTCAAAATGCTAACTTTGAATTTCTTGATTATTTCTTTATAAAGTATCATATTATCTTTTATATTTTACTGACTTTCTTTTACAGGTACATGAGTCTGGCTTATTCTGGAGATGTAATCAAAAAAGGCCTTCCTGGAAGAGAGTTTACAGCAAATGACTCTCTGTTTGACAATGGACACAAATATCCACAAACGGTTAGATAATAGAAAATAACTTTAAAAACTATATTAAAACTAATCAAAATAATAATAATTATGCGTGGAGTCCCTCCGCTTGTTAAAAGTGAATCGTAATATATGAATAAGAAAAAGAATTGGTAGATTCTAAGGTTTTTTTTAATGTTACTATAAGACAAACTTTACTAACATTACTTATAAGTCACAATTGATACATTACATGCGTCCGAACTCCACGCATTCTCTCTAGCTCTGTCTATTTTTATCCCTCTTCCTCCCAGGAGCATAAAACCTTTGACGTAACCTTGTTGGAAACTTAAGAAGTTTCACTTCAAAAAACAATGTCAATTCTCAAATTGTTATATTACCTTCTAAAGCGTCACAATAGCTATGAACTTGTCAAATCTTAACATAGAAACATTACGTTTTTCATTCTAAGTTCATCTATTTAGTAGGCATTTTCAAAGGTTTTACCGTATCCAGAGAAAGTAGGTCCAAATCCAAGTACACTTCGATCTATTTAGCTTCTCCAAGTGTATACATTTTATTTCCAGGCGTGTTACTGTGATGAAGACAGTGGTAGGGACTGTATGCCATCTGGAGCGTTGAACGTGTCAGCCTGTAAGTACGGAGCCCCGGCGTTTGTGACAAGACCACATTTCTTAGGAATGGACCCGTATTACGCTGACAAGATAAAAGGCTTACAGCCGACACCGTGAGTTTATTATCAATTAGAACTTTTATTTAAATGAAACTAATATGTTTCGGATTATTAGGCGTATTTTATAATTTTTAAACGTACATACTCCCGAAGTTTCGGTTACTTTGCAGCGTCGGGAGTAGGTAGGTAGTTTTTGAAATAATAAAATATTACTTTCATTGAAATAAATACTTGTAAAAGTCTTACATCTCATTGTAGAACTACTATTATATAACTTTAAACTCAACACAATACTGAGTATAAAAATGTTTTTATGATTTAAAAAAACATATACATAGTCTATATTCTTTCCACGAATTCAGATGTATCGTCCTCAACAACAGTAGAGACCAAAAATAAATAGATATAGAAAGAGTTTCTTTGTTCTTAGTGTGTCCATAAATAATCTGAACAAAACTGAAACTTTAATTGCAACTTAAATAAATTTATTGGATATGTAGTTTTAATTGTAATTTATGTACAATAAAAAGATAAATTAAAACACTTATTAATTAATGAAAATAAAATTACTATGTAATTATTAATAGTATTTTTTGTAAAGTAATATATTAACATTGGACATTTACAAAACAAAATAAATTGAATTTAACTAATTGTTGATTTTATAAGTTACATTATTTTTTATATTTATTTTATTTTATTACTCATTTAAATATGTAAATGATGTTCGTGAAATTATGTTAGCAATTTGGAGGTATAATTAAATTTAAATTAGGAAATAGAGATACACTAGCAGGATTGAACCTGCGACCTAGGGAATGTTGCATTTCAATTGTTTTAACAATTAAACTTTTATTTATTATTATCAAATAATATTGTAAACTGATCCGACTTGATATATGTATATACAATGAAATCTAAGATTTTTGCGAGTACCTATACATTTAAATGAAACTAATATTTTTCGGATTACTATGCATTATTTTATTCTCCTTTCCTCTGCATGTGATCACAGTTTCAACTTACTGACTGAAATGTCGAGAATATGGAGTTTTAAAAATAATAAAATAACGCGTAGTAATCCAAAAATATTCGTTTCATTTATTTGTATACATATATATGATAACTATATATCTTATATTTATGTACCGTTTGTTATGAAATTAATCGTTTTATTCCAGCAAGCACAACTTCAAAATGTCAATCGAGCCAGTGACAGGGATGCCGTTGGCTATTTCAGCTCAACTACAAGCAAATGCTCTGGTCAGACATATTACAGGAATAAGGCAGGTTTATTTATATGTATATTAAACTAAAATTAAAAGTAAATATTTATATAAATGGAAAGATTTGCAATCTCGATTGGTTTTTTTTAATGTACCTATACACGCAATGTACATAAAAATATATTCTAGATGTGTTTGTAAATAATAACTTCAAACCGCTATTTTACTTCAATATTACGTTCTTGAATACATATCAATCTATTTCAAATCAGTTTCGCTAGCAGAGTTAAATATCCTCATATAATGAATAGGAACATAATAATTTCGATTTTCAAACATAATAACATAAGTAGACATAATAATGAAAGCTATATTTTATATATTCCAGTATAAACAACCAGTTACCAGACCCGGACACGTTGGTGCCTATGTTTTGGTTTCGAGAAGAAATTGAAGTGAATGATGAGTACGCCAACTTTGCGAGGAGCGCCCTGTCAGTTAGATACGGCGTTCCCTACGGATTATATGTTATGATAGTAAGCTATACTTGTGAATTTTCTTATCCTTCCTCCGAGTTTTCATCGTTACACTATATACGGAGAATCGACAGTTATTCATTCGTATATGATGTCGTATATGAACGCTAATTATATCTATTATAAGATTTAGGTGCGTCGTTCTTAGATTGATCCTGCTAAGTATTTAGTGGAGAAATGATTTTAAAGACTTTACATTACAAGATAACGTTTTATTCACTATAAGACCGTACCCTTTATCGATTTTGTTTTTGTTAATTACGAGTTTGTTATAAATGGATTAATAAGTATATTAACATAGTATTATTTAATATACTTATAATTATTCTCTATCACTCACCCAAAAGTCAAGACGACAAAAGATCTTTAAACCATTTTAATTCTCACAGTTCCTTTTGTGAATACACTATTACTGAATGTACAAGTTATATTTTTAAGCATAACTCATTTGGTGCTCTGTTTTTTAGGCTCTTGGTGCAAGCCTGCTGCTCAGTGGGTTGTATAAAATCAGAAGATATCCTCTCCGGCAGTTGAGGGAATGTGACATCGCAGCTTCCCAAAAGTTTCTCAGCAACAATATAAGTCCAACCGTGACAAACTCGACGTGAGAATTGTATGTTACTTTCGTTGTGCATTTGGTTATCAAAATAAGAAAAGCAAGCTATATTTATAAATACATTTTAATTGTAGGGTTAAAATTTATCCTATTGTTTATAAGATGTGTTGAAAGAATGGAGATATGCAAGATGAAAAGAATATGGTTGATTTGACACTATTAATTGTAGGTAGCTAATTATAGTTTAATAGTTCATTCCTTTTAAGCGGAAAAGACAAGGAAACTAAGTGAACTATTCCGGTATAAATTATTCTTGCCATAGTAAATAATTAAGGAGTAATAAATGACATAAACGTTTAACTACATTTTTGAACAAATTAAAAAAAATCGCATTTATTGTCCTTCAATAGTTGTAATTGGAATTAAATTATCATTGGAATATGACCTACATCATTAGGAAAGGAACTGACACTCTTCTACTTCTGCATTGATAGTAACAACATGGAAACTTGTTTTCGAATACAAACCTCATCGAAATTTGTTGATCCATATCCCTGATTATACGTAGATATAAAACAAGCTTTTAAAAACCTCTTTTTGGGGATAAAAATGCCAAGCATTAAAGCATTTAATGATATGAACGGCTTGCATCAAGCTGTGCATTTCTTAGGATATTGTACACCTTTATATGTAAGGTTTAATTTAACTTTTTCGTGTCATATATATGGAAATGTAAGGTACATACATTTAATGTATGTATCTAAGAAATTGTTTATTGTGATTATTTTTAATATAATTTGTTTAAATTGTTATAAATGTAAATTATTTTTTTATATTTCCGTATGCTTGTAATAAAATTATGACAAATTTGAAATCTTTGAAAGAATTAAATGAAAACTGCAAACTGTTTTTAATTTTGAGTCTTTGTACGAGTGATTACTTCGTAGTCATATTCTCAAGTGAAGGTTAGGACACTATTTCCTACCTTCATATCTGCCTATTCCTCTTCCAATCACTGTTTAAGTTAAACGTGTAACTACACTACAGCATTCTTTTAAGTACTCACCAAATCTTCAACTATCTTTTGATACATGTCACTGTTTTGAATATGAGAATATAAAATTAGTTAATTAAATAAAATAATGTTGAGAAAGTTTTTTATGGCACAAATTGTTGGCAATGAAGCTGGCTATGCAAATAATACAGACTACTGAATTTGCGGTAACGATGATCACGGACAAACGAGATTTTATGTCGTAGTAATTTGTAAATATTAGTTTCATTTAAATGAATATTCACGAAAGTCTTAGATCTCATTCTTAAAGCTTTTTCATCCTCCCAATAAGACCTAATCGAAGCTCTTATATAAAAAAATGTTCTCTTTTATATTTTCTTTCAAGTGGTTATGTTTTTCCGCCAGTGTTGATAGCATCATTATCCCTTCGTAATGGCAGCCATCTTGTATTTATTTATTTATTAGATTTGACTACATATTATCTTTATGTATATATACATATATAAAAATGAATCAATTGGTCACGACATAACGCGTGAATGGCTGGACCGATTTCACTTATTCTTTTTTTGTTGTATGTATTTGTTATTAGGAGAAGTTTTTTATGTAAGAAAAATTTACGAAAATTACTAGATAAAAAAATAACTACAGTATTTCATTTTTTATTAAAATAATGTGTCACTGGCAGTAATATTCACATTGTTAGAATAAAGCATAAAAATAATAAACACTTTGTTTTTTGAATAATGTTGATTTATTACTATACCAATTAGAATTCAATAATCACAGTTAAGAAGACAAAACATTGTCTGTCGAGACAGTTATACTTAATAAAGAAATTAACTTCGTTGAGATAGAAAGGTAACAGTTATTTCTTAGTTATAGGGCAGTACGAAGTCCGCGGGTCAGCTAGTATATTAGGTATAATAACATTATTGGCTTCGTTCTTCAAGAAACAGATAATACAATAGTTCATTTCTAACAATACTTTGTTTATTTAAACTTCTTTGTGTAGTATAAAATTTAAGAAATACTTTTATTTACTTTTATTAATATATAAATTAATATTGACGTTTAAATATAAACTAAAACACAAGTCAAACCCCCGACTCGTGACAAAAAATAAAACAAAACGGTTATATTAAATCATTTATTTATAAACAAGTCAGAATAATTACAAGCTAGATCTGATAACATTATAAAGTAACTCTTTCATACATTTTGCTAACTTGAATATTCTATATATTTTTGATAGTTGACATTTAGTATAATGACTAACTGTCAATTAACAACAGGTAACATTTAATATAACTAGACATTTCTAGTGTAAGGCACTGTTTCAATAACATTATTAATAAAATAATACCTTTAAATAAGTAAATAAAATGAACATCATGAAAATGACCAACGATTTAAAATATATACTTAAAATGACATTAAACCGAGGTTTTTCTCCATCTTGTTTAGTTAAATAATGTTAAGGTATTTTTTTGGTTATTTTACATAAAATACTGATGATAAATCATTAAATATGAATACATTTTTTTAATAAAACGATAAAGTAGCACTGTTGTGTGAAACAATTTGACTATTATTTCATAGTGGCAAGACATAAAAAGGACAATTTAGTACCACCTTTATGTAACAGATGGCGCTGTTTTTAAAAACATAATCTAACAATGCTGTAACAAAAACATGTCAATATTTGTATCTAATTAGGTCATAAATGATGCAACAATAATATAATATATACGACATTGTATTCAGTCAAAACAAACGAAATGCCCAAAAAAATACTAAATATAAATAGACTAGACTTATGTATAAAAATATATGACCTTCATGAAACGATATACAACTGTAACAATTATTAGATATCATAAAAACTTATCAAAACACCTAACTAATTATTAATATTGTTTTAGTCAACTAAAATCCTTATCGGCAATATACAAGTAGGTTACTTAGTCCCATAGCACCATTTCTCGTCTTATACCTAATTTATTGCACTTAAGACTTACATTTAAATATATATAATATGGAATTATTATTGACATAACATAATGGGCACTGAAATATTTGTAATAAATCATAATAAGTGGAATATTTAATGTTCACTGTATTTCCTAGGCAGTCTTATTCACTGTACCTCTTCGTGTGGCGACTCGAGTAAGGTGTCTGAAGGTTTAAGTAACTTTCTAAGGAGTATGTATATACCTATGATGAGCAGTAATATACCGATCGCCTGGAAGAAAATATATTTGGTTTATTATTATTATTGATAAAGAAATATTAAGGAATATGAAAGAGTATTGTATACTTTAAGAGAAAAAATATTTCTTGCAGTAGGTCCCGGGAATATAGGTCCTAGCATAGAGAATAATTTCTATCTAAGTTAAAAATATGTAATTTTAGAACATTTTTCTTTCAGAACAAATTACGTTCATTCAATGTAATCCTTCCTTTAGTAAAGAGATCGAAATATAAAAAAAGTCAAAAAGGAGTATAATAAGTGGTGAATCTAAGTCTGATTTATGTCATTATATAAGAATCATATTATTAGTATGCAATTCCCATTTAGAGTCTTTGTTACAACGACACTCTCGCCTTACGGATACAGTCTATTACAGTTACTTTCTAATAATGTAGGTTAATTATACTTCGCATAATACTATGTATGTATGTATGTGTAGTATAAGCATCCAAAACCAAATGATCGTCTTGTACCAATCTAGCTTTAAACTATGCATTTCTTTCCCTTTACCATTTTTCATCAGGAATATCGAACATTAAACTAATGACCAACAATATCAAGGTCATGAACATACCTACAGATTTATATACAGTCCCTGGCCAAATTATTAGACGCATTGTATTGTTTTTAATTATTTCATGTTTCTTAAATGTTTTTATGCAGTAATTGTGTATTTAAACTACAGTATTATTGATTTTTATTTAAAACATTTGTTGTAGACTATCTATTTTTACTTATTTTTAGCATATGGCAACTTTGTGTTGTTAAAGGGATACATGAACGTAAACAAGTATAAACCTGTTTCTGTCGCGATCGCAATTTCGTCAGGTTTGGACGTGTTTCTCAGTTTCTCTTTCGGGGTTTATATACTGTAATTATTTGTTTAACAGTTTTTTACTGTTCAGTTATTAGTTTATTTTGTATTCAGTGTTTTAAAATAAACATTGGACTATTTTCATTATGGGTAAAAAGGGCGATCTTTCACCGCGTAAGAAAGCTGAAGTAAAGGCTCTTTTAAATACGAAAACATTTTCGAATCGGGAAATATCACGAAGATTGAAAGTTTCTGAAGCTAGTGTACGACGCATAAAAAAAGTAATTGAGTCGGGGGAGGAATTAAGCCCGAAAAGAAAGAAAAGATGTGGTAGAAAACCAATTTTCACTCCTCGGTCAGAGAGATGTTTGAAGAAAATTTGTCTAGAAAACAGATTTGCTACCACAAAGGTAATAAAATCACAACTCCAGGATGCTAGCGTAAATGCTTCTGAACGGACTATTCGAATAAAATTGAAAGAATTAGATTTTAAAGCCTGTCGCCCCGCCAAGAAGCCCAAGTTAACAGCTGCAATGAAAACAAAGCGACTGAAGTGGGCCAAGCAATGGCAAGATCAAGATGTGAACTTCTGGAGATCGGTAAGATAATGTAATTTAATAAAAAAATATAGATTATTATCATTTTCAATAAAATAAAGCAAAAGAACTTGGATATTTATATATTTTTTCTATTTTTGACAGGTCTGCTTCAGTGACGAAAGCACATTCGAAATTTTACAGAATAAAGCTCAGTATGTGCGTCGTCGTCCAGGAGAAAAGTTTCGTCCTGACTGCGTCGTTACAACAGTTAAACATCCCACCAAAGTGATGATTTGGTCAGTCATCAGTGGCAAGGGTACTGGACGTCTGTACGTCGTGAAAGGAATAATGAGGCAAGACCAGTACAAAGATGTTTTAGAAAATCGGTTGATTCCGCAGCTCAGAGAATGGTTTCCAAATGGGGAACCATTCATTTTCATGCAAGATGGGGCTCCCTGTCACACTGCTCGATCAGTTAAAGCTTTCTTGGCAGAAAATAATATTCCTCTGTTGGATTGGCCGGGTAATAGCCCCGATATGAATCCAATAGAAAATGTGTGGGAGCTGATGAAAAGAGAAGTGGCTAAGGATGTGATCACCAACAAAACCCAGCTCCTAGAAAAGATTATACATGTGTGGAATCATCATCCACAAATGCAGGAGACAGTGCAGTCTTGCATTGATAGCATGCCGCGCAGAATTAAGGCTTTGATAGCGGCTAAAGGTGGCTCAACAAAATATTGACTTTTACGTACTTTATTTCTACATTTCTTTAAAATTCAATAAACATAATTTTTTTTTAATTAATGCTGTTTTATTTGTATTAAATTAATCCGTTATTGATTAAATAATAATAAAATATCAAACAGATCATTTTAAAACAATAAATCGATACAACATCGCTCTGTAATTAATATTTTACATATAATTATGCAGTGCGTCTAATAATTTGGCCAGGGACTGTATAGTTGTTCAGAACTAGTAGCTACTATCGATAGTACGGTAGTATTTTTTATGATAAAGAGGGCAACCGAGCAGATAGCCTACTAGATTGAGGTAGTACCGTAGCCCACGGACATTCGTAACATAGATTTGCGGATCTGTTGTCACCTTTGATTGCAGAAGAGGGGGTGTAGGCGGAAAAGAGACGGAAAACGGTAAGGGCAACCGTCTCTCTCACTCATCGGTCGAAAAGCAGCCATTAAACTACGGCTACTTCACGCCGATCTTCTTTGAGAGGGTACTTCGGTAAAGCCAGCCCATGTTTGAGCTGTAGTAACTTGACCACAGCTAGTCTCTACCAAGTACCACTTCAAAAAATGTTTGTGGTATATATTATACTGACCGTTATAGTGTATAGTCCTATCGGCACGCCGAAGTTTACTCCGAGCGCGAGCCTCGCGAGGCTGGCGTATTCCTCTGTCATGAACAACTCTTGACGGAACCAAAACATTGGAACCAACGTATCACGGTCGGGAAGTTGGTTGTTTATACTGGAAATAGAGATTAAACTTCTTAGCATTCAATGTATTCATCTAATCTAATATTATTATATAATTTGTACTAACTGTGTCAATCTAATTATTATGTGTGTGATAAAAAAAAATATTATGTTTGTTTTGGAATAACTGGAAAATTTTAATTTGAAAATTTTGTTTTAGAGTCTAGATTCAAAACTATTGATACTGTTGACTTGAACCATGACGTAGACCTAATGAGATCAAAGACTTTCGCGAGTATTCATTTAAATTAACAATATTTTCGGATTTAAAAATAATAAAACATCCCATAGCAAACCGATAACATTAGTTTCATTTACACAATGTAGACCATCATTGATTTTTTTGTTACATAATTAGAATTATATATTACTAGCCTTCCGCTCGCAGCTTCGTCCGCGTGTAATTCGGTTATATCGCGTTTCCAAGAGAACCTTTCGAAAGTCTGGGATAAAAACTATTCTATGTTCTTTTTCAAGATCAACTCTATGTGTGTACCAAATTTCATTAAAATCATTTCAGTGGTTTAGGCGTGAAAGCGTAACAGACAGACAGAGTTACTTTCGCATTTATAATATTAGTAGGGATGATTGTATACTCACGTGATAGCATCCACGTGTCTGACCAGCAGATTGATCTGTAGCTGAGCGGCCACGGACAGAGGCATGCCCGTGTACATCTCCAAGGATAGACGGAAATTCATATCACTGAAAATTAAACATGATATATATGATGAAATAATCTAAATATGTAGATGAGATTTTTGCTATATTATTATTATTATTATTTTATTATATTTTTTTACTTTGGAAGATAAATAGTTACTTGATTGATTATGTATGTTTCGGAATAACTGGAACATTTTCATCTAAAAATCCAGTTTGAATCTAAAACTATTGTTGGTCTTGAATGTGTGAACCGTGGTGTAAAGCTAATGAGATCTAAGATTTGCGCGAGTTTTTCATTTAAATGAAACTTATATTTTTTGGATATACTATGTGTGCTTTATTCTTGTAATAAAACGAAATACGCGCGACATTTCGGCTACTTTTCAGCAACCGTGATGATGAAGACGAGATGCGTAAACGTCGGGAATATGTAGTTATTTACAAAAATAAAGTCATATATCCGATAAAATATAAAATTTATTAGGTATTTTTTGATAACGCTAGAATGATCGGCCAAAATAATAATACCAACCAGCTATATCATAATGAAAAATAATTAACGAATAAAGGCCAATCAAATTTCAAGCATTAGCATTCATAATATGGACTTTTCCATACATTGATCAAGAAATACTTCCACCATCTTAAAGAGATGAATATTAATTAGATAGTACAGTTCCTTTAGAAGTTCTTTAAAAGTTCCTTTAGAAGTTCCTTAATATTACGTCAAAAAGAACATTTAATTATCAATACCACTTACTCGGTAGCATTCAGACCCTCAATCTTCTGTGGATAATGAGGATCCATCTGATAGAAGTGTGGCTGTGACACGAAGGCTGGTGCACCGAACCTACACGAAGACACGTTCAGAGCGCCCGGCGGGAGACAGTTGTCGTCACGAACTACGTCGCAATAACACGCCTGAAATGAAAAGATTCATAGGTAATAAAGTATAGCCAAGGGCGCGAGTTCGATCCTGGCCCGGGCAAGTACCAATGTGATTTTTATGAATCATATGTACTTTCTAAGAGTATTTAGATATCACTGACTAATGCATTCCCAAAAAGGATTGATGTCAGGCAGGCGGCCGGTCATAAAAACAATAGACAAAACTATTCATAACATGTAAGGCAGACCACGGCTAAAGCAGGGAAATTGCCAGGTAGAAGAAGAAGAAGGTAATATAGTATCGTAAATAGTAAAAACCTTAGTGAGAACTTTTATACGATAGTTAAATGTATCACGCCTGGAATTACAATAAACATAGTGTAACAACCAATTTAATATGAAAATTAAATAACCTTTTTTAAAACAATTATACTGGCCAGTATACTGGCAGCTAAATTTAAGATGTCATATAATTATTATAAAGAAGAAAACAATTTTATATAGAACGATACAAAAACTAGAGTTGTCAATTGGCTGCCGAAATTGTAAAACTAAAAGATTGTAAAACATTATTTTATATATTAACAAAATATATATTCGTAAGTGGTATTAATATAATATATGTACACAACTTAAATACTACTTCAATAGGAAATTTAGGTATCCCAAATAGTAAGGACCTGAATAGTACATACATTTTGTGCGAAAGTTATAATGAGTAAAACTGCACGTAGACTAGAAAGTGCATTTTTGTAATACAGATCCATCTTGGTAGAAAACTTGCATTTCTTTTTGTTCTAACCATCTGAGCAAAGCATTTATAGTTCATTGTACTATTGGCATGATAAAAATTTCCTGAATGGTTTAGTCGTTCTCACAATATTATTTACGATAAGTACTATAGAATGCAGAAATAAAAGATAATTATAATTATATACAGCTGCAACACTGTAGAAAGAAATTGTAATGAAAGAAAAATTTAAATGCATACCTTACTGGGATATCTGTAGCCGTTGTCGAATAATGAATTATTTGCTGCGTACTCAACACCTTGAACGCCTAAAACCTCCACTGGGTTGTCGGTTCTCGCGAGATTCATGTACCTGTGGGTATATATACAGTTATATACTATAGTCTAATACTCACAAAGATATTAATAGAATTTTCTAGTTTTAAATAAGTTGGACTATAATTATGTTTAGTCTGAATGAATTCCAATTTAAAGGTTTTTCTTGGACATAGTACAGAATTACTGTGTAGATTATTGAACCTACGTGCATATATCTGGGGCGAATACTGTGATCTCTTCCTGACCGAGTTCAGGAGCCCAGAGTTCTCCCGTCGATCCTTTGACCACTCCACATTCGTCCCTAAAGTTGGATCGTTCAGAATACCGCCATTTCTCCACATTACCCAGAGAGGAAAAGTCTTTAGCGCCAGTGTTCATGAGGAATATGCCATCGAATTCCTTGGACCCATTGCGCTGGAAATTGAAAAAAAAACTTAATGTATTTTTTCTGAGAGTATTTTATTTTCCCGAACGATATGTCGTATTTATATTTTGCTTATATGTCGAAGATATATTTTGCAAATCATTCATTTTAATGCTTCCATTAATAAGACGTTACATTAACAGTGCTTATTTTTTTGTAATCTCGCTAATTACTTGCAACCTAACTTAAACTAACAAAGTGTAGATATATATGCGAGTTTGTGTTTCTTAATAAATGCATAAAATAACAAAACAGCTTGATTATTTTGGTGGTTTTTATTTTATTTGGTGGTTTGCGGAAACTAAAACAAACCTGATAACACTAACCTTGTAACTCATTCACTCAAAACATTCACTAATTTCATCACACATTTCATTATAAAACAAGAATAATGCAGATTTAGTAAACATCGTAGTTTAACAAACTAATATTCTTGAATTGTCATTGATATGCTAGCTTACTACAATTTTGCATCATCACATATACAGCGATTCCAATTTTTCATTCATAAAACCACTAACATACGATAATTATCTAGGTATTAACGTAGGTTATTGAGTAATGTAAAACGCTTCACTCACAGTGTGCTAGCCCTCAATAATGCTAAATTGCAAACTATTTAGACAAGTCTACCTACACAATACATATTGATGGCCACGTGACGTATATTTTGCACAACACCTAATTGCTCACGAGATGCATTACGTTGCAGTATACAATGAATCATGAGTTTGAAAAATAACATAGTTGTTTATTATGAATAACAACAAATAATATTGGAAGTAAAGTTTGAACTATATTTGTTTAAAATACATCTATGTTTCATTCATCAAGTGTATGTATGTAAATGGTTATGTACATATATGTATATGTATATATTGTGAATAAAGAGAATAAGAGTTTTGGTTACATAATTATAATAAAAAATGCACATAGCTTATAAACATGTCTTTTATAACAAATAATATTCATTTCTTTTCAAGATCTGATATAGCTAAATATTTTTTTATTTAAATGAAAGAAGACGACCTGTGATTGGTCGTTCAAAATATTGGAATAGTCGAACGACTTTGTGAGGTGGTAGAGCCTAGCTGTGGTCAAGTTACTACAGCTCGAACATGGGCTGGCTCGACCGGGGAAGTACCAACCTCTCACAGAAAATCGGCGTGAAGTAGTCTTTAATGGCTGCGTTTCGTCCGGTGAGTGAGAGAGCCGGTTGCCCTTTCCCTTTTCCCACCCTTTCCTTTCCCTCCCTTTCCCACCTTTTACTCCCCATTTTCCCCAAACAAGGGCGGCAACACATCTGCATATCTACTTTGCAGATGTCAATGGGCGACGGTCACTACCTACCATCAAGTAGGCCGTCTGCTCGGTTGCCCCCTTTTCCCATAAAAAAAAAACAAAAAATCGAAGTCGCGGTATTAGCTAGTACATATATGTATATGTGTATGTGTATGTGTGTGTGTGTGTGTGTTGTGTGCGTGTGTGTGTGCGAGTATGTCTGTTTAATAACTTCCTCTTTCAAATCTGAAGTGTTCGAAAAATAAGGTTATCACGAACAAATACTTACACTGATAAGAAATAATAGTGTTAAAACAATCTAAGTCTACGTTTAGTTTGAAATTGTTAATTCATGTAATGTAAAGGAATTTAAAATATAATTAACATTTAGATAAATATATAATATGTAATATAGATATGATTTAATTATTATTTTCAAACACGTGAGTGAATTAGATAATAATAAATCATTTGATTGTATTTCATATGTAATACGAGATAAGTGAAGACATGTACTGTTATTTTTATCAAGCGAAAGAGGTTTGTGAGTTTTTTTGCTAATATAATTTTATAGATCGATTAAGTACACGTAATTCAGTAATAATGTGCAATTAAAGTACATATAAAATAATTACTTTTGTTTGACAAATAATAGTAAAAAATATAATGATGATTTTTTTTTTCTATGAAAGTACTTGATAGATTTTGTAATTTTCTCATTAAAACTGAGTTTTATCGACGTAAATGTATTTTTAGACCAAAAAAAACAACTTCTAGATTTACTTGAAATAATTAAAAAATATACTTTTACATGACTGCCGACCAATGATGATCTATTTTAGGATAGACGAAGTCACGTTTAATGGCTAGTTAAAACAACTCAATAGATTTAATGAAACAATTATACAATCAGCGAAAGTTGGTTATCGTTATACGCTGTTGTAATTATTGCTGCTCGCACGCCAAATATTAAATATGGCTAGACCAAGTTAGTATCGGCACACTCAATACGAGGCGTTAACAGTTTTCATTTACTATTCCCAAATATTACAGTGCTGAGGTAGGTGTTGGAATTCTTACGAGCCGAATAAAAAGACATTAACACATAGATACTTCAACAATTTATTACATTCTCGTAGTCCCAACGCGCCAGAAGTTGAGTAAAAATATATTTAACGACAAAACTGAGTAACAACAAAATAATCTTATGTTTGGATAAAATATTCCATAAATAAAAAGTTATTTTCTATTGTAAACATGTCTCTAAATTGGTGGATTTGAGTAAAAATGTTCCATTACAAATAAAAACCGTAAGATTAGAACAAAAAAAAACACAATAAATTAACTTGCTTGACTATATTGTGAGAAGTAGTTTGAATAATATATCTTTTGTCATTTTAAATATAACGCGTCGTGAATCAACACTCGTCATTTCACTAACATATCAATAAAGGTCAAAGGTCGGCGAACACAAAACAATTATTTGTTTCCTTAATAAAAAACGACTCATTCAACTAACCATGACCCAATAATATATTATAAATACGACAAGTTCGAAGGTCAAACACGATAATGATTCATTAAACATGAGATCGCTTTACAAAAGTTGCAAACTTTTGAGTAACCTTGTTCTACATATATGGAGGGATTATTACTTATTCTTCTATTTCTATGGTAATTATATAAAGTATAAGGATTTTTTGTTATATAAATTTTGGTATGAGCATGCCTCGCTATTTGATTACGTCTGAGAATGCTTCTTTATGTTTGTCGACTTTTCTATCAATAATGATAGTCAAATAGTCTTACTACTGATAAAACGTTTCGAACCCAAAACTAAATTCAACTAAATGAAACTAATATTTTTAGATATGCTACTCGTGCTTTATTTTTGTAAAAAAAACTACATACTCCCGACGTGTTGGTTACTTTTCAGAAACCGTGATCACGGGCAGACGAGATGCATAATATAATCCGAAAAATATTTGTTTCATTTAAATGAATAAAACTCGCAAGTCTCATTAAATTTACCCAAACCAAAAATACATGAACTTACCTCATAAAACCATCCAAATTTATCGTACGGTATATTGATGGGTAGATCAGGGAAATGATTTGCGACATTCAATACCGGATCCTCTATACCATCGAACAACCAATTTCTTACTGGTGCCGTTAGAAACAGGTTGTCGTGGAACATTCTCATGAAAACATCCACGGGAACCTTCAGTAATGGATGTTGGTTGCGGAGGACGTAGGCTACCGTCTAAGGGAAAGATTCGTAGATAAAACCTTGATATTTCTATCCATCACGTTGAATAATGATAAAAACTCCTCAAATAGATTAAAAGAAACAGAAAAGACATCATATTAATTAATTATTGTTGGATAATCAGTTGTATTATGGTGCAACAAAATGTTATACCATTTTAAGAGTTTGCTTTGCCCTAATGGGCTCACTTACCGCTATAATCGGATTAATGCTGGTGATGACGTCATCGAGGGTCCCATTCGACATTTCAGGCTCATAGAACCATGTTCGTTCGTTGTAGAAAGTCACAGTCGAGTTGTCGTTGAATGTGATGTTAACCTGTGATTTAGAAACGACATATGAACAAACTGTTATATATTTTAGTTAATAAATTTGTCTATTTGTATGACAGGAACCATTGGGGTAACTATACTAGTATGCGATTATAGAAATAGAAGTCTTAGATTTGCTGTTACAAAGAAAATTTTCAATTCTCATCCATTAAACCCTATTGGCTATATGATCTTATTTATGTATTATTATTAGGTAACAACTAAATTAATGTCTTACAAAAGCAGAATCTATGTTATAAGTGGCGTTAAATCTTAAAAGAGTTTTTATTGTCAAATATTATCTAAGTTTTCAATGCTTTTTTCAGATCCACATAACCTAGATACAATGAATGCATGACTTAAAAAACGATTAAAAATTCTTTAATGAAATCATCATCACTAAGCTTAGAGATAGCGCACGTTTTAAAAGATAATGAAAATATTAATTAATCATTTTGCCAATCTCAGATAAATTCCACGATAGCGCCATTTTATCTTAATACCAAGGAAATGAAAATACATTTTGCATATAATTAAATTAAATAACATCTTGGTGACTAATTAAAATCCTAACAAATGTCATAGATAGGAATCATCAAACGATTTCGTAAAACTTTGTTGCTTCAACACTCTGCAACCTAATGGAGGGATTGTCAAACTATCAACCAAAATTAGTGACTTGTCATAAGTCCAAAAATAAATTGATACACTATCAAAGGACCAAAAAGAATTTGAGCTATAATATCTAAAAAATAATTATTCCAATATAAGCTACGCGCAGAACTATTTTAATAGTATGTATAATGACTGATAGAACGAATATACTTGACATATAGTATATGTATATAACAACACGAACATGTTATCAAACATCCGCGAGGTTTGTGAGGAAGGAGGCGAATCAACATGGTACAGTTACAACAACAATTGATACAGGCCATGAAACTTTGACCTATCTACTTTTACGAGTGAACATTTAAATATAACTAACACATCAACATATACATACATGTCAATATATATAAATGAATTGATGTTCGTTCGTCTCACTAAAACTCGAGAACGGCTGAACGGATTTATCTTATTTTAGTCTTGAAATGTTCGTGGAGGTTCAGGGAAGTTTTAAAAGCTGAAAAAAATTGATTCATTTCCGGGAAAACCCTAAAAACTGCCCTATACGTTTTTTTGACATTAGATTTGACAACTAACTAATATGTCAATCATTCTGTTCGATTGAAACAGGAAAAATTTTATAAATACCAATACCTGGTTATTTAAGACGGAATAGAGTTAGCCCGGTCAGCTATACATAGGTATATTACTAATGACGATATTAACGCGGACTAAGTCGCGGGCGAAAACTAGTACTTATATATATTTTCTTATAGTATATATATTTGAAATATATTATATGAATATTATTAAACGTAATCAATATTATTACAAAATCGTTTAATAATTCAGATTCTACTTTCAATATTTGCAATAAATCTACTATGTTCATAAAAAATGTTTATGTTCATTTATTTAGAAAAATATTAGTAAAATGAAATATTTTACAAGTTGCCTGTGTACCTATATAAGACAAAATACAGGTTTCCCAAAGTCGTTTAGGTCCTGACAAAATAAAGGTCGACGAACAGGTTTGAAGGCATACAGAGATAGAATAAGAAAACAAACCTTGACATGAAATATTACGAAACCTTTTAGCAAATAAGAAAAGAATAACTTAATTAATTACTTACTCAAATAAATTTATTATTCATCGAAAGGTAATATTTATTTTAATATTACTAAAACAAAAATGTGAAATAAATAGATCTTTTGATCAAAAAGAAGAATGAAAATTGTTTTGAATCCGTAGATTAAAATCTATATTTTACGAAGAAAAAAATCCCGAAATGAATACAACTTCTCATCTGAGTACGTTTAGTTCCAAGCAGACCTTGCATATACAAAAAATATATAAACCTGTTAAAAATTCAATCAAAACTTTAATTGGCTGAGTGCAGTTTGTGCGAGGTCATGGAAACAAACAAGCAAATAACATAGAGATATATTTTAAACATAAATACTATTAAAATTCATAAAGCAACTCCCGAGGACTTCTATGAAGAAATTTTAATTCCTACTTTCTTTGCTCATAACTCATAACAAATTTAAATGTAAATATATTCACCTTTTTGTGGTTCTCCTTAAACACGTATGGTCCAAATTGTTCAACCTGCATCTTCACATTCTTCCCAGCTAGAATGTCATCAACATTGCTGATGTTAAACATAAAGAATTCTAGGTACATTGGTATGGGTATCTCCTTCCAGATGTTGTAAGAAGTGGAATCAGGTGCCAGCACCATGATCTGAGGAAGAAGAACTCTATTATTAACAAGCAGGAGAAACCAATTTAATCATGAAATTTATGGATGTTTCAAATAAGATTCATTGGTTATAAGAAATACGGGTCCATCCAAATATAGTTCCATGTTCCGTAAATTCTGGAAATTTCTGACTTTAAAACATTATTTGAATCGAATGCCTTCATTCTATAATATTGAATTAAAAAGAAGACAAAATTCCTTTCCTTAAAATCGATCATAGTAACATTTCTGCTTCTATATGCAATAGAGATTAGAACAATGCAAGCAACTGAGATTAAGCACGTTTTATACAACTATTTGTGTCTATCTCTAACAAGCAAAGACAATAGAAGATTACTGTGGTAGAATAACATTAGAATACCATCTGTAGAGAAAGAAATAGTTATAATTTTACTTGACTTGTAAAAAAATCACATCTGAATTGCAGCAGATAAGGAAACAAGAACAAAAACAGTCATTCAATTGTACTAAATAATTATTAACATCAGTAACCTTGAATAGAAAAATATGAATTGTAAACGTACAATGATATCACATGACTGATTCATAAACATAAAGACACATAAAATATATGTTCGTTACGAGATAATATTTTCTGTAAATATAAGTTTTATAACACCACAGTAATCAAAACTTAGAAAATAAATAGTTTTTTTAAGATTTAGGCTGGACAAAGAAATTATATAGCTAATACATTGTGTGGTTGGTTTAAATTAGTAACAATATCTCAACGAATATTCTACTTAATTATTTTTTACTAGCTGTGCCCCGCGGTGTTACCCGCGGATTTTCGGGATTTCCGGGATGTAAAGTAGCCTATATGTTATTCCTGGACGTCATGTCAGCTTCCTGGAGAGCGTTCAAGTATTATGTAACGCAATTTTGGGGGAAGGGGGGTCTCGTAAAACGTTACGATGCGTTACAGTGGCGGGAGGGGCTGTCTCTTACAAAACGTTACGTAGCATTGTTTCTAAAAAAAAATATTAATAAAAACCCCCAAACCACCTCTTTTCATATACGTTACATTATGTTGACCAGATTGTATTAGTCTGGTCGATATTTTTATTTGTTATCCCAAGTTTGCAAACCTCTTAATTGATATTTTACGGGGAATACGTAGATTGCATTGTAAGTCTTTTAATGTTGCATCCGTGGTCAGTATTCGTTAGTGTTAATCCGTGAGTTCCTATGAACATACTGTACTGTGTTCATACTGTAATTTCTTCAGAAGAGGGAGATTTGTGTCAATGATCTTTTTTCATTTAATAGATTAAAACTATACCAAACTATTACATATACTATTACATACTTTTGGATGAAATTGATCACTTGAGTGTTACGTAACGTTTTGAGAAGGGGGGGGGGGGGGTAGAGAAAAACGTTACTGTGCGTTACGAGGGGTGAGGAGGGGGTCAAAAATCTTCAAAAATGGCGTTACGTAATACTTGAACGCTCCCCTGTATACAAAATTTTATCAAAATCGGTTCAGCCGTTTGAGCGTGAAGAAGTAACAAACATACACACACACTCACAAACTTTCGCAATTATAATATTAGTAGGATTTCTACGTTAACCGGTGTTAAAATCATTGTTTATTCATAAAAAACCTAGTACAGAAATAAGATGTAAGATCTTCTCAAGTATTTTCTGATTACTTCGCCTATTTTATTATGTTTAAAAACTACATACTCCCGACGTTTCGGTTACTTTGCAGCAACCGTGATCATTAAGACGAGATGTGAATTTACACAGTACAGTTGTTTTTTTTTGGTACATATTTCATAATCCCTATTATCATAGACAAGTGAACATATCAAATACTTTTATTTTTAAATTACTTACTCCCTTCAGCACTAACATAAATAAAGATGGCCAGAAAATGGCCATCACAGCTCCGACCACCACCAGGATGGAGCCGAAGCTCATGAGGATGGCACTCTTTTTCTCCATGGACACCATTTTGGCTGAAAAAAAGTAATATTATTATTCCCGGGCAACATAGATTTATAAATGATATATTTAATTTTATTATTTAGTCATCAGCCAGCGTATCAGAGCCCACTTCTGAGCAAAGGCCTCTTCTCACATGGAGAAGGTTTGAGCATTAATCACCACGCTTGCTCAAGACGGGTTGGTGATTTTAAACTAATAATTGTGAAATTATAAGTCTAGGTGTCCTCACAATGTTTTCCTTCACCGTCTGTCCGTCTAAATATTTTGAGGAAGTGCATATGACTGGGAAAAATCACATTGGTACTTGCCAGGTTTTGAACCCACGCCCACATGCATGAGAGGCGGGCCTTTAACCTCTAGGCTACCACGGCCTTATTATTTAGCAAACACAAAAATATTATCTATAACGTGAAGAATTAAGACTAAAATTAGAACTTCCTATAAATTCTAAGACAATGGGCGAAACGAAATATTTCACTTAAAACTTATAAATCATCTACTAAAATAGTTTTAGAGTTAACCAAATAAAGTTTGAGGTAATCTAAAATATATATACTATTTTTATTTACACGTCATTTGCATCAGAGAAATGCGTATTGATTAAAAAAAAACTAAAGAAATGGAGCAAAGACCAAAGCAATAAAAGGAAGGAAAAAATAAACAAAACTATGTCTTTCATAAGAAATACGTGGTTATATAAAATAAAAAACTTTACCTCCGCCAAAATATAATATTTAATTATTATTCTATAATTAATTTAAAAATATTCCGTGACATTGATTTAAATTATCTGATAATTCTCAATAATCTGAGATTATAAAGATATTTAGGCAACTAAATTAATATGTTCTACGAACGTATATATGTCACGCCATTTTAATATATCAAATTATTTATAATATATGAAAGATTAACGAAGATTTCGGGCTTCTAATGGATTTGTGAAATAACTTGTTCTTGCTTAAAACATATGTAATTCTGCGATAAGGAATCTAGATTATATAATATGAATAAATAAAATATTACGCAAAAAAAAAAATGTTTTTGTTAGATTTTTTATTTTATCGATTATTTAAATTATACAAATTTAAATATATTTTATGGATTTTTATTCACCAATATATTTGGTTGCGGTTTTTTTCTGATATGTCATAAAACATTTAAAAATGTCCTTTCATCAAAAATTCAAGTGTATTGAAGAAGAGTGAACTTTCTTCATAATAAGTATATAAGTACGTATTTTTTTTCTACGAATAATGTTTTTAGCTATGCTCTGTAAACATCTAAGTATATCTTGATATCTTTGATTAAAAAACGCTGAAATTGTCAGCGTATTTGTTACGGAGTGTCCAACAAATAAATGTAAATGTACAACATATTAAAACATAATCTTATCTTGATCTCAAGAAAGCATTCAAACGTCAATCAGGGAAAAAATACAAAATAAATACAAAAATATGTAATATTTATCACAAGGACAAGATCGCTGCTCGGTTTTTATTTAATTTTAAAAATCACTTTTGAAGGCTACGCAGTTTTCTTATTCCACTTCAGTGATAAAATAAAATAATATTATTCATAAAATGAAAATAATGATTATTATTAAAAGTGGTGTTACTTTGAAGTGAAATGAGAGAAATGACAGACGTATTAACCGTAATGAATCATCAAAATAATGTACTTATATAATATTTATAAAATATAAGAGAATGTTTTAAAGTAGTAAAACTTTTAAACCACCATTTTTTTTTAGGGATGCCCTGTTTCGTCTATATATTTTTTTAACTATGGCCATCTCTTCCTTCGGTAGCAATACGTATTGTTATAAAGAGAAAAGAAGAAAAAATATCTTTAACAGTTGTTTCATATTTGAATGAAATAAAAATCTTTTACCTCGCTGTAATGTCCGCGGGTTAAATGTTTGCAACTTCAAGGGTAAATGTTAATGCGGAATTAATATTGCGGATGTTGAAGTGCCTAATTTAATCTCTTCTGCAGTTTTTATTTTATACTATACAGTACTTTACTTTTAGCAAAAGACGACACGTAAAACGAACGCCAAATTAAAATTAAAAGTTAAAATGTTAATAATAATTATTAAGTCTTTGAAACATTTTTAGTCTACGTAAACAGGTACGTCATTCGAAAAAAAATATAACGAAAAAAACGTAAATATAATATTGAAATTATGTACATAAAACAAATGATAAATTATTTGGTGTTACAAACATGAAATTATGTAAGATTATTTTTAATTAGGATATATCAGAACAAATTATTGATACATATCTAATCTATCGTGACATGTGTAAATTTAATTGTTGCCATCCAAAGTTGCTTCCAAAGCGCATTGTCCAGTTCAAAGTCACCAAAATTGTTATCAAGAAATCACTGCATATAATCTTGATTCAAACGCCTGAACGCTAACAAAAATGTATGACTATTGATGATTAAATATTAAATATTTACATCAACACTTCAAGTCCAAGTACAAGAGCAAACACTACGTAAAGAGCTAAACTAAATAAGAATTAAATAATTTTCTTTAACGCAAAAATATTTAAAGACACTAAAAAACTACATATTTCAATGTCATCTCGTCTGATTGTTCGTTAAAATCAAGATGGCATACTTATAACGTCGAAATAAGGTTATGTTTTTATATAAAAAATACTGAGTATAATGAGGTCTAAAATTTTCGCGAGAATTCATTTAAATGAAACTAATATTTTTCGGATGTACTACGCGGTTTTATTTTGATAAAAACTACATACTCCCGACGTTTAGACTATACAGTGAGCAACAGGGATCACGGGCAGACGATATTTCATTAAAATATTATTGAATACTAAATATGAGACTGATAATAGAAAAACATTAGTTTTACTGGCTATTGTAATAGTTTTAACATACAAGTCAAGTTTTGATATCTTAAACGTTTAAGAAACAGTAAATTTATACTTTATTTAATAATACAAAATCATTTATTATGAATGGTGATATTTAATAGTAATATATTTTCTAAGTTGTTTTGAGTATTTTTTAACTTTTAAGTTGATACTAGTTTGTAAAGAATAATTATAATAATTTTATTCATACAAAAGATTTTAAAACACAATTTAAAAGTGACAAAAGCAGTCTCAATAATTTGACTCTAATTCACAAATAAAAATTGTAATTGTTTCCAGAATTGTCACGGTCATTTGAATGTTAAATATATAATATTAATTTAACAAGAGAACTAAAAGAAATATACAAGCCTATATGAAGAATTATGTATCATATATTTTTGCCTGATTCACTTTTTAAGACATTCAAAGCAATGTTTTAAAGTACAAAGTATATATACACTTACTTTTGGAGTTTGGACAGAAATTTGATTAATGAAACTGCGACAGATAATCTTTACTACAATTTCAGTAATAATTTGAAACTGCTCCACTTATAATAATAATATATTAAAGACTCAGAAATAAATAATGTTACCTAACTTGAATTATGTATATTAAAACGCTTCTCAATATTTTTTCCGTTTTGATGATTTTATACAAAAATTTCTGAGACTAAATTGTTCCAAATATTGTTAAGTTCCTTTTAAATGTCTAAGATTTATTTAGATTCTAAGATTAAAGGAAAGTGTTAATAAATGCGAGGCCGTTTAAGTTTTATGAAATAATATTTGTGCATACACAAACTAATTTTTCTGGAATAATTTTTCAATATGCGCTATTGAAAGTTATTAGTTGAAGAGCACTCATCAACAATTGTGACAATCAGTAACCAATACTAGGGAATTATTTGCCAATAAAATATATTCATATAAAACAATGTAACAGTTCTCAACCACAAATAATAATTATATTTTCTATTTTTATCTTGTAACTTATATTACATATAATATCTTTATTATAATACATATAATAATTTACTACATAAATATGGTAATATATTAGATAACTTGCATTGTTTTTTTTCTTACACTCATATACAATATTTCATTTCATAAATTATCATAATCGTAAAAAGGTTGACAACCTCTTTTCTGTATGAAAGAATTGTAAAAGTTGTAATAATAGCATTATTAAAAAAAATTCACTTGTTTATATAACTAAAATTGCAAACGTTTAGAAAGTTTTTTTTTTAATGAATAGAAATAACAAAATAATATTATTCACTAATAAAGGTTAAAAGAATACTTACGCCTTTGTTTTACTGATTAGTCAGAATATGTTATCACGAAAAAAAAATTAAATATCCGAGTTCCCATATATTACATTATATTAAATAGAAGCCAAGATTACACGATATTCAGAAATCCCGGCATTCTGCTTTAATTATTTGTGCAAAATTATTTTTTTAATTCTAATCACACTCATCCGCACAACTAACGACTGCCACCGACCGACCTCTTCCGACTATATAATACTTCGTTCTTTTGACAACTCATTATTTTGTTTAACTTTCGATAATAAATACCTAATAATCACAAGTTCCGAAGTCACGATGATGTCATATCTTGACATACATCAAAGTCACTATGATGCAACGTCAATTTCACGCAGAATATAATATATTTCTCTAATAACACAAAAATATCCCTGATATTTTACAAAAAATTTTTGAAAATTAAAATTTAATTTATATAAATTAATTCATTTATTTTGTAAAATATTCTACAGATTCAGTATGAAGGAAGCCATAGCTTCAATTAGAAGAAACTATTTTGACGTTTCATAGATGACATTTGAATTTGAATTCAAAATATATCTCACCGTTATTTCTATTGTTCAGTAAACATAAGTGTTAAGACAATTTCTCTTTGATTAGAAGTTATTTTGCTTAAGTGGTCATCTGGATTTATAAAATGGAGAAAAGTAAGTTTTACATTATGCAAAATAAACCTACATATATTCAAGTCCCTCTCAGTCCAAGTCCAACGAAAGTTGTTAATAAATCATTTTTGTTTCGATCATGTATTCTATTAGATTTATATTACAGCTCCAGCATTTACAATCGAAAATTTCATTGAATCTTGGAATGGGGCGTTTCCGAATCATCCTCTAACGGCGGCTGACTTAAAAAAGCCCCTGGAAGTAATGAAGGCACTGCTTGCAATATTTGATCGCCTCGATATTGACAGGGAAGCTATATTGAAGGTAACAAATCAATTTTCTATATTTTAAAATAAAATATCAAAATCTAGTCAAAGTTCAGAATATTAATTATATATTATTTATAATTTAATAGGATTTATCACATCTACAAAACCTTATAATGAATATTTTTATTGATACTAAATAAAATCGAATGAAAATATATCATTTGTATGAGAAATACAAGTATAAAAATATGTATATAAATTATAATTGCTCATTAATAAGCTGTTTTCATATAAATTTGTACCCAGCCCCCACCAGAAGAGAATCGTACCGAGAGCCTCATGTACTACTGGGACTTGCTGCCAGTCATTAATATGACACGCGTCATCAACCGCTTTGTGTCAGAAATGCCGCAAGTCGGAGCCACTATCAGCATCATACATTTACTACAGCCGACAGTCACCACATCTCATTCAATACTGCTTCTTTTGGTCAATCTGATGCTATTCAATGAGGATCGGCTACGAGATATAGCACCGTACGAAGAGGAGCTATTTGCTAAGACTAATCAGGTTTTATAATATTTATTATTTAACTCTTTTTTGTACACCACAATTACAAAAAAATACAAACTAAAAACTAATGTTGAAACAAAAGGCGGCCTTATGGCTTATTAGCCATTTCTTCCAGACTACCTAGATGTATACATTACTTTTATAAATACATATTTTAATATATATCTTTCAGTACAGTTGATTTTTTGCTTGTTTAATTAAGGTCGGTGAATATCTATTGAACATTATTTAACATTAAATATTTGTTTTAAATATGTTAATGTAACAAATTTATTGTAGAGAATTAGTTGTGGGTGCGTTAATTATAATTATTTTCATTGGTTTAATCATTTTACTCTCATTTCAGGTTAAACTGTTAGAAGATAAAAGGGACAAACTGATTATTCTTCTGAATGAGCAGGCTGAAGAAAAAGGAAAGAGATCAGAACGTCTTGAGAAGGTAGGATTACGATTTTAATTATTTCATCATCAGCCTATCAGAGCCCACTGCTGAGCAAAGGCCTTTTCTCACATGGAGAAGGTTTGAGCATTAATCACCACGCTTGCTTAAGACGGGTTGGTGATTTCAAACTTATAATTTGAAACTATAAAACCAGGTTTCCTCACGATGTTTTCTTTCACTGTCTGTCAGTGGTGTCTAAATACTCTTAGAAAGTTATTATTACCTATTTAACCACACATAACAATTCATTGATAGTTCTTTTCCATACTCCTGATATTGTTTACTTGCACTACCTAGTTGCTGAAAATATTAGTTTCATATAAATGAATACTTGATTAAATTAAAAATACTCTTATTCTTAACACATTAATATAATATTACCAGCTGAGCCCCGCGATGTTACCCCTGGATTTCCGTGATTTCCGAGATGTAAAGTAGCCTATATGCTATTGCTGGACGTCAGCTTCCTGTATACAAAATTTTATCAAAATCAGTTCAGCCGTTTGAGCGTGAAGAAGTAACAAACATACACACACACTCACAAACTTTCGCAATTACAATATTAGTAGGATTGTGCTCCTCTCAATCATAGGTTAATAATATGTGTATGGTGTACTTAAAAATATATATTTATGTTGCACACTTGTGTATTCTTCTACTTCTTCTACCTGGCAATTTCCCAGCTATAGCCAGGGTCTGCCTTACATGTTGTGAATAGTTTTGGCTATTTGTTTTTACGACATCAACCCTCTTTTGGGAATCAACATTAATCAGTGATGTCTAAATAGTCTTAGAAAGTACATATGACTCGGAAAAAGCACATTGGTACTTGCCCGGGCCAGGATCGAACCCGCGCCTACCAATATACAAATTAGACATTTAAATTATATATTTTTTGGTGATCTTCATCTTATTAATGTTCAATAATGAAGATGAAATAAGACTTAGATATTTTATTATTTTAATTTAAAATAAATTCTTTAAACCATTTAGATGCAACATTGAATATATCAAGTATCAACTATTCGATTTCGGTAAAGTTCATATTAGTTTAGTTATTGTTCCCATATTTTAACCCAAAACCAAAAAAAAAACCAAATTAATATAGCAGTCATATTTAATCATATAATCCCATCATGTGTCGATCAGTTCTTGACTTACAAGTTTCATAATGCTTCCTTTTTATTTTTACAGTTGGATCAAGACATAAAAATATATGAAGAAGAACTCAAACAGGAAAACGAAGCGTTAGTAGAGGACAAACTGGAATTAGAGACAGCTGAAAATGAGCATCGACGTACACAGACAATTCTAGAACAGAAGAAGACTCACAGGGATACTTTACTCGCAGAAGTAGAAAAGAAGAAAGCATTAAGAGTTTACGACGCAGAAGATATAAAGGCTCAAGCTGAACAAGCCGCTAGGAATGTTCAAGATGCTGAGAAGAAACTCAACGATTTGAAGACTACGTTGATGCAGAAGGAAAACAGCTTAAAGAACTTACAAACCATAAAACCGAATCTAGACACGGCTAATAATTTGCTGTATGAAATGTCCAAGCTCATGGAGAGTGTACGGTTAGTAATAAATATATTGGGCCTGTCCAGAACTCACATTAGTACATTCTTGCAACGTACTTTGAGAACGCCTTAGTAGGTCTTTTTCAAATTTGGTTAGGTAGGGAGAAGAGTTTGGACAGGTGGATAGGAGCGTTTAACGCGCGTTAGATAGGGTCCCTTAAACCTACACCTGGGTTACAAGTCCCAGGCACTGTTGAAGCTCCTCTCCCTGCAACGATGGACCCGACACCCGCACTGTGAATCTGTGGAATGCTAAGAAGTTTCCTCTCTGTTGTACTTATATATCCAACTAGCTGTGAAGAAACACTAACTAACATATGCTATATATATTTGGGAGCGTCAGGAGGATGCCTCATGGCGGTTTTGTCTTTTCTTATCAATCATGGGCGTTATGGCGATTTGAAACTCATAAATAAAAGCACACTTGTACTTTCCAATACCTAATTACTCGATTTCTTTACTGTATTTAAAATCACATTCAAATAATAAGACGAAAATAGATTATGAGCAAGAGGTCAAGCTTGCTACTTGCTAGGCTACTTCGTTCGACGGTTGTCCATAGCATAATGGCTATAATCCTCACGCTCAGTGACTATCACTACCATATTCAGCACAGGCCGCTCATAATTTTTATGAAACAAATCAACTGAATTCCATATGTATTAAGTTTATTATTAAACTTATCCAAATTCCACGAAACGTCATATATCCTACTAATATTATAATTGCGAAAGTTTGGGAGCGTCACGCTCAAACGATTGAACGGATTTCGATAAAATTTTGTATACAGGAAGCTGGAGTCTAGGAATAACACATAGGCTACTTTACATCCCGGAAAGCGCAGCTAGTATATGTATATATTTAGAGGTTAAAACAGTTATATAAAATTTACAGGGAATATGAGACTGGTGACCTTGAAGCGGATAGCAAGGACGGAGAGTTGGAAGTTCTAAACACGGAGCTATCGGAGCTGGAAGTACAGCTGCAGGAGTTGAAGACAGCGAGAGAGGAAGAGGGACAGAAAATGAGAGAGAATAATATGAAGAGGCAGAGAGAAAGAGAAATACTTATAAGGTAATTAGATATATAGATATAAATGTATATTTATTGGTATGTGTTTGTATGTATGTGTATGTATATGTATAATATGTATCTATATATATGTGTATATATTATTTATACAATAGATTGATATATATCAATAGAAATTTATATGTATATTTTAACTTTTACTGCTACCGTCTTCACGATTGTCTGCTTTGCCTAAAGGTTGACTGGTAGAGAATGCCTTCAGGCATTAAGTCCGCCTTTTGTGTCTACGTGTGTAGTTAGACAATAAAGTTTTTAAATAAATAAATAAATAAATAGATATTACCGTCTTGAGCAAGCGTGGTGATTAATGCTCAAACCTTCTCCATGAGAGAAATAGTGCTCAGCAGTGGGCTCTGATAGGCTTAAAAAAAATTGGTAAGACCTGGAGAAGATTATATACTTTGTAACCAATTAATAAAATATTGAAATGAAACTAATATATTGCGGATATATTACGCGTATATTTTTGATTATAACTACATACTCCCGACGTTTTGGCTACTTTACAGCAACCGTGATCATTAAGACGAGTTGTATATTTAATAGACTATATATGGGTTCATAGAGTTATAGATATAAAGATTTTTAACCATATTTAAATATGGAGGATGAGTTTTAAATTAAATAAAGGTTAAATGATTTTCCTTCTCCTGCTCAAAGTTATGAAACAAAACGAAAACAGTAATAAGAGAAATATTCAAATTCACTGACACAGATTAAAACATTGCTAGAAAATTATCTCCAGATTATCTACCTCAATTATGTTATTTTTCTAAATCATAGGTACTTGATTTTTAATAAATGAAATAAAATTAATTTAATAACAGCATTTTATAACATTAAATTTGTTAACTAGTGTTAAAAAGAAGTACTAATACTTCCACTTTGATATTTATTGCTCAAAAACTTGTAAGACATTTAGGTGAGGGTAAGTTACAATATCCTACAGAGTATACTATTATAAAGATTCAAAATTAGTATCAGAACATAATTAATGGTAAGCTCAGAATTATAAAGTATGTATATATAATTGAAAAAATTATGTACTATTAACACTATATATTAAAACTCAATTGACGGAAACAAGAAAAATATATGTAAAATTGTATTTAGTTGAACTGGGGTTGAATTAAATTAAAAACTTACTCAAAGTTTATTCTTACATAGAATTAGATTTTTTCAATTTGGATTATAATAACATAAATTATTATTTTTAGTAATCTCCATGAGGCAGAGGAACGAGATAGGAAGTATCAGGAGCAATCAATAAGGGATACACAGAGAATAGAAGAATTAAAGAAGGCTATACAAAAATATGAACAAGAAAAGACGGACTGTTTGGCACAGATAGACAAAATAAAGGATGACTTTACTAATGGGGTAATACACATTTATATAATGCGTTTGATTTAGGCTGAGCTTTGCATTTGTGTGAGTGCACACGGATAGTGTAGGTGTGGTGTCAAATTTTTGAATGCCACGTTCTTTTCTAGTTTTGAACCGGTTTATTCTGCTTTTACTCCGCCCCGCACTTTCCTCACTTCACCCTTTGTACTGGTAGCAACTTCAAATGTTGAAAACGAAATGTCAAGTGAAGATAAATATGTATTGTTTATTCAAAATTTTTATTTCTTAATTTTTTTTCCATAATATTTCCATTTAGTCTTTTACATGTTTTGCTTATTTTATTTTTTATCTAGAATAACTCTCGCACTTATGTTATGTATCTATTTAAATATAATAAAATTTAATTCTAAAAGTTTTTTGTCTAACGCTACTTTTACTTTCACTCATACATATGCGAAGCTCAGCTTAAGTCGAACGGACTATACTTATATTGAGATATTTAGAAGATATATATATAAATATATGAAACCATTACAATAGGCGTAGTGGTTAAAGGCCTGAATCTAGTGCATGATGGCGCGGGTTCGATCCTGGCAAGTACCAATGTGATTTTTCCGAGTCATATGTACTTTCTAAGAGTATATAGACACCACTGACAGACGGTGAAGGAAAACATCGTGAGGAAACATGGTCTTATAGTTTCATAATAATATGTTTGAAATCACCAACCCGTCTTGAGTGTGTGGTGATTAATGCTCATACCTTCTCCATGTGAGAAGAGGCCTTTACTCAGCAGTGGGCTCAGATAGGCTAATGACGAATAAAACCATTAAATAATTATTGGTGCCACTATTTCTTAACAGAATCCAATTCTTATTGTCAATTGTGATAAAGTATAATTTACATTGTTCTCAATGACAGACCTGTGAGCTTTGTGATAGTTTTTTAATTGTGATGTTCAATAAACATTATACTTTACATCATATTATTTAACAATACTGAGCAAGTATTTACACAATATTACTAAAATTAATAAGTTTATGGTACAGCTTTCCTGTGTATAAGCAATTGTTATCTATACTAATATTATAAAGCTGAAGAGTTTGTTTGTTTGTTTGTTTGAAAGCGCTAATCTCCGAAACTACTGGTTCGAATTGAATAATTCTTTTTGTGTTGAATAGTCCAGTTATCGAGGAAGGCTGTGGGCTATAAAACATCACGCTACGACCAATAGGAGCTAAGATATAGTGGTAAATGTGTAAAAAACGGTAGAAATTATTTCATCTTTGAAGCCTTCCGTTGCGTGCGCCGTGAAAACGGTTCAAGATACACAAAAAATATGTATTAAAGAATAATAGCTCTTTTAATGATCTTAAAAACAGTCCGCGACAGTATATGTCTATCTTTTAAGATTAACTCACAAAAACCGTTTTTATGGTACCTTATTTGGTCGAAATAATTTGTTTAAGTTGTATAGGGTGCGCCAGAGAAACTTACTTATTTAAAAAAATTACCGCGCGGTGAGTTGGGCGGGTAGAGGGGCAAGAGGGGGCGCATCTGGAGGGGGAAGTTCCCAAGTTTGTTTCTCCCTCCAGTCAGCTGCCATCATGCTCTGGTTTAGAGAGCAGCGGGCCTTCGCAGTTGAGAGCTTCTTTTCTAACGGTCGCTCACTTATTACTACGCAACGTGCCTTCCGCGCTCGCTTTGAAATTCCTCCTCACAGACTCGTTCCTGGCCGTAATTCGATTCTGTCGTGGTTTAACTCATTTTGGGAGTGTGGAAGTGTCGCCAAACCCAGAAATGTACTTCAACGGACCATCAGAACTCCGGAAAATATCAAAAGAGTGAGGCAGACAGTTGTGCGTTCTCCCCGGCGTTCGGCTCGCAAACACGCAGCAGCTATGGGAATTTCTGATACCACTGTTCGACGAATTCTCCATGAAGACCTTCAATTTCATCCCTATAAATTGGCTGTTGTGCAAGAATTAACTGAAGGCGATTTTGTTGCCCGTCAAAATGCATGTGAAATGCTGATTGACAACCTGCCTGAAGACGCGGTCGTTTTTTTCAGTGAAGAGGCTCACTTCCACATTTCCCTGGTTTATGTCGATCGACCACGGACCATAGCACACCTCAAGAACAACATTCGCGACGCCATTACCAACATACCGATTGATATGCTGCGAAGAGTGGATACGAATTTCAAAAATCGACTTCGTATGCGCAATGGGGGTCACCATTTATCCGATGTCATTTTTAAGACTGCATGAAAAAAAAAATTGGGATATTGTATTTTCAAATAAAAAAAATTAAAACAATAACTGAAGTACTTTTTTTTTTATTGACCTTTCAAATAAGTAAGTTTCTCTGGCGCACCCTGTATCAACATAATAATATAAATCTTTATTCAAATAAACAAATAAATATTATGTTGTTGGTTAAGAGTACATACTTCATTGTGAATTAAAAAAAACATAGGTTTTATCTTGAATTCTACGGGAACTCGACCATTCCGAAAACCCTTCAAGAACGGGAACTATGTGGGAAGAACCAAAAATCTGCCGGAAGTCACTATTCCACGCGGACGGAGTCGCGGCAAAAGCTAGTGTAGGAATATGACTATTAATTGCTAATATGGTGATCTAAACAGATTTCTATATATTAAAGTGGACACCTATATAATAAAATATAATTATAATCATTCACTAGTTAATATGAATAATTCTTTAATAATTATTACAGTTGAAATTAATAAATGACTTAATTCCGTTTTGTACCTTCAGTATAGTTATTTAATTTAATTTAATTTTTAGAGAGTATTTAAGTAAAAAATTACTTAAACGAAATGTATTTATTTGTTTCAGCTAAAGTCAATCGAAGATCTTCTCTTGAAGAAAGCCAAGGAATCTAAAAAAAGAATTGAAGAGAAATTAAAGAATAGAAATATTTAATAAATTGTATTTGTATGTATTAATAACATGTTCAGAGTCTTTTTAAATGGATATTGTAATTTTTTCATTGTGTTACTAGAATTATTATAGAAGTATTCTGTTAAGTGTATTTTAAATAAAAACTAGTTCTGCATTTTCATTTTATTTTTACTAAACCGATTATTATTAGGCTCTATACAACATAATATAATGGGATTTTAATGTTATTTGTCAGCTTTCTTTTTCTTTTTTTTATTGTTAAGTAATAACTTTATCTTTGTTTGTCTTATCCAACTTCATTGTTCAAAATTTATAATTCTAAAACTTACATTTCCTTATTTGTTTTGTACAGGTGGCTATACTTAACAATTTTGTTAAAAAATATTTGAATTAGTCTTATAAGCAATTAAAAATAAGTAACTTTTGGATATTGTAAGTTGTTTCAATAGTAGGTACATTCGTTTTCAAATCGACAAAAAGAAACTAATTATAAACTCACTTGTAAAGGTTAGGTTAGGTTAGTTAAGTATTAAGATGAGTATATTTATGATATGATATAATGAGGATATTTACTAGCATTATTATTACTCACTTTCAATTGAATATCTTTTAATTACGAATAAGATTCTAGGAGATGATTTAAATCAGTTGAGGTTTTAAATATGAAAATGTGAGGAAGTTAATAGCGGAATATAATACAATAATTAATAGAATGTTTACAAAACTAGTATGTATGTGATTCAAAAAGAACTAGTCATGAATTTAGACAGTCATATAAAACCTCTTTTTTGAATTAAGCAACTAACTGCGGTTCTTTTTAATACAGGCATAATAAAAGCTCATTAACAAATTAACTGAATACTTATTTCGGATATAGGTATTTACTTATATTCCTATATATAGTAATGATGTCATGATGGCCAAGTGGTTAAGGGGCCCGCCTGTCATGTATGAGGGCGCGGGTTCAAAAATTGGCAAGTACCTACCAATGTGATTTTTCAAAGTCATGTACTTTCTGAGATTATTTAGACACCACTGACAGACGGTGAAGGAAAACATCGTGAGGAAAACTGGACTTATAATTTCAAATTTTAAGTTTGAAATCACCAACCCGTCTTGAATAAGCGTGGTGATTAATGCTTAAACCTTCTCCATGTACGAAGAGCCTTTGCTCAACAATGGGCTCTGATAGGCTGATGATGACGATGATTCTAATAATGTATTTACGTTGAAGTTCTAGATAAGTGAGAAATTAATTTGTTTTTACTTGATGAAAGTTTTATATAACATAGTAAACCTACGTTTAGAGTCTTTTAATGCATATTTGATGATTACATAATTCCGTTTGTGTAAAACTTAATTGCTAAACTCCAACAACTGACAACATTTGTTGCAAAAATATTTTTTAGTTTCTAATAATTTTTATGGTTGACGGTTAGTGTTGCCATAAATAACGTTACAATAAGAAATAAATGCTCTGATTGTGACCCAAAAAAAAAGTAAAGGGCTTAATTTTCCGATATAATTAATGTAAAAATTTACCTCGAAAGTTTAACTGCGACCTTACCTCTTATAGATTTAAGTCGCGTATTTTAAAGGGTGACTTAGCTCTTACTTGTAAGAGACGCAATAATCATTTCCTATCTGATAATTTCAAAATAATTGGTCAGTAAATTCAAATACTTACAGAAGACGAGAACAATGAGATGACATAAAAAAGTATGACAACCAATTAAACCTGCAATCAGTAAAGAAGTTCAATAAATCAATATAGCTTAAACATGAGCTTTATCAGACTTCAGTAATTTTATAGAGCCTTGGATATATGAAGAAGTAAAATATGTAGAAGAATATTTCAAAACCATAGCAAGACAATCATTCTTGAGAGTGTAGCTAAGTTAAGCCTTTTTAAAACACGATATTCAATAACAAAGAATGACGATTTGTGTTTGAGGTGCTGTTTCATTTTTGTTTTTCAATGTTCAGCGTTACTTCCAGTCTTACAAAATGGTGGAAGCAAGTATTTATAGTTTTCAAATATAGGTTGATACAAAATTACAATAGTTCAGTATTATAATTAATTAAAATCAGTTAAAAATAAGGATTATATAATAATTAGTACGGCACAGATGGCGCCACTTGTAACAATTGTTCAAGATTCGACGCTGAGTCATAAAGCGTTTTCCACTTTATCTTAGAAACAAACGTTTTTGACTTCATCAGACCTGAAGCCTGGCTGACATTTACTTTCGATACTAATCCACTGCACTAAGATTTGTAGTCAATTCTAATTCCCAGCGCCATTATCATTTTATGTCTCTAATCATTCTCATTACTGGTTGTGAAATAATTTCCCATAGAAATAGTGCTTGCTGCTATTTATACCCGACTTCAAGTTTTAAAGGACCGTATTAGAGTGAATGAAGACCAGTTCAAATAAGCTTTATATATTTCACGTACGTCCTATTAAAATGTTTTTCTTTGTAAAAATATTTATAACAGGGCTGAGATAAATTTAAATTTAAATGGATTTTCACCTGCGATGGTTCCATTTGGATCTGTTGTTCATTTTTAATACATTATTGACCTTATAGTGGCAGTCTGTTTAAAAGTACTCGACAAATTAGCGACGGACGTAGAAGGTCCGGGGGCGTGGAGTGGTCGTTTCCTCTGACAATAACAATTATGTTATTGGCCACTGATTGGAAAATACGCTTCCTAATCAAGCGAGGTCGACCAGAACTGATCTTTGGGAACTGATATTTTACGTATAAAATATCGCAAAAACGCTCAACTTAGAGTTTGCTCATGTTTTTCTGTGGATCGATCTCGAACCTTTAATGATTCTAAGCAGAAGAAAAAGGCTCTAAAACGACGGTAAAGAAATCGTTATTTGTTTATGATATGATATTTCATAATAGAATTCCTGATTTTTTTGATTTTGCTTTACATGTGCCATAGGATTCTAGACGAACTTAGGTATATTTTTGCTTAGGATTTACCTCTGGATTCACAACTCAAAAAATATGCTTATATTTTAGCTTTCACCGAATTAAAGTTAAATTTTCGTTACTAACTTTATACATTGAATGTTTTGACTTCCTAAGACATGAATCTTTCTGTTATAAAAAAAACCTGAAACAAGCAAAGTTAGTAGACGGTAAATCGCTATCGTCGTTTGTATTCTTTTACCTATGGTTTTGTCCTGAAATACGTACATATATGGAAACGTTAAAAAATATTAGACAAAATACAAGACCAATCACATATTTTGTATTATTAAATCATAATTGTCTTGTTTTTGTTATTTTATATTGATATCATTAAATAATCTTTATTATAAATGCTTAAATAACGCTTGCATTTTCTTCATTCAGCTTTGAGATCAACGAATTTTTTGTATATAAGTTGAACGGTTGGAAATTACATCTACTTCAGATACTCTGACAAAAAGATAAAATAAATTGTAAATAGTAACTGAAACTTGTTTACTTGTGATGATAATTTGTTTTGACACACTGGTTTTCTCTTATCTGTAGTATGTAGACAAGAATTGATCAAAATTCGCTTAGATACAAGTGCAATTTGGATAATTGCCACGTTAGTTAGTAAAACATTAACGTGTTTCTGTGGCATCCCTAATTGAACCGTTTTTTATATACATACATATGTTCTAAATAAAAAAAAACATTAGTTGTTTGTATTCTTAAATAGATTTGGCACATTTTTCAGAACTAGTCGTTTAAAAAAATTATCAATACGACAAAGAATTATTCTTTAAAGTAAGAGATAAATCAATTTTTTTTCATATCTTGAATTTGAAACCAATCTTTAATACAATTTAAAGCTTAGTCATAACTTCTATTTATATTCCCTATATTTAAATTCCTCTATTAGTTCAACATGTATTTATTGTCAAAATATTATTTAAAGTTATCTACATATATTATTAAAGTAACCAAAGTATTCGCGGACTACAAATAAATCAAAACTATTTAAATTACTAAATGTGTATATTGATTCATCTTTAACAATCTGTGATGTAACAATACAAGTATCTCAATCCGTCTTCTCTTAGTATTTAGTTTATGACTGTCATTCATCGTGATGTATTTACATCTGTGTGAGTCTGGGCGGGATATCTGGCATTGGGCGGGCAGTATTACTTCTGTACCAGTAGTAGTAACAGTCACGGGAAAATATTGTATTTATTTGTGAAATTTATTCGTAATAATGGGTGCTGAAGATGCGAATATGTTGGTGGCCGTCGAATTCGAGGTCTTCGGCCAGGTTCAAGGTGAATTTGTGTTTTTTTTTGGCTAATTGCTGTCATTAGTCTCTAGTTAATATAGATAGATTAGACTATCTATGTATGCTAATAATTAATTAGTTCATGCAATTCTTTGACAATGTGGATGATGGAACTTTAAAGCGATTTCAGTTTTGATAGTAAAATTTTTACTCGTTTTTCCTTTTAAAAAATAAACAAAATGTGAGATCAATTAAGGAAAATGAAGAAAAAGGTAATGAAATTATAAATACAATAAAAATGTGACGTAAAATCGCCGACATGACTTAGTTTATTAAGAAATTAATCTATTACAAAAATCCTTGTTTGTACGAGAAAGTTAATTTATTACATTCGGTATAACTTCCTTTTTATATATTATTTTCCTTATTAATTGTAATCAATATTGTAGATTTTGCTAAGAATCACTTTTTTTTGTAGTTTTGATTAAAGAAAAAAAAAACGTTCTTAGATTATTTCTTTTGTATTCACTAGCGTTTGCCCGGGACTGGGTTTACGTGACTTTTAGAAATCTGTGGATAATGTTGATAATTTTTTTTGTTACATTGATGTAGGTTATGTTCAAATTAGAAGCAGAAAGCTTAAATTAACATATTAACAGGTTCATGAATAACGATAATAGCCGTAGTGATAAAAAGAATATTTTTTCGATTAAATGAAGCGTTATAAGCTCATTTCAATGCCACTAAAGGCACGCTCTATAGTCTATCGTAACTTAGATTTATTAATAAATTTATGTCTTTCTACAAATTAATCGAGTATTTCAGTGACAGAAAATATAGGTACCTAAGTCAGTGGTGGCCTAGTGGTTAGAGGATCCGCCTCTCGTGCCCGAGGGCGCGGGTTCGATCCTGGCCCGGGCAAGTACCAATGTGATTTTTCCGAGTCATATGTACTTTCTAATAGTATTTAGACATCACTGATTAATGCATTCCCAAAGAAAGTTGATGTCAGGCAGGCGGCCGGTCGTAAAAACAATTAGCCAAAACAATTTACAACATTTAAAGAAGACCCTGGCCAAAGCTGGGAAATTGCCAGGTAGAAGAAGAAGAAAATATACCTAATTGTACGTTAAATAGGAACAGAACCCTATTCTTACTTTTTAAGGATGACAGTATTTAGGAGCTAATTAAGTTGTCACTAATGAGTTTACCATGAGATTTTGTATGGTTCATACTTTTTACTTTAAATGTTCATTACTACCTACTTAACGGGAATATCGTAGTCAGGCTTTATTTTTAGTGTACGTTATATATTTTGTCCATGTTTTAAGTACTGGGTCTCTTTAAATCTAACTTTCTTTCGTCAAAGAGATATCTTTGATAAGGATTTCATAGATCTATTGATCTTTTATATATTTAATTATAATTATTAAGTAATTAATTATTAAGTTAAAGTTTATTATTAATAAACTTTAACTTAAAAATTATTACCCTGTCGATTAAAAGATTTCATTCGGTTCAGATTTTTTAAATTTGTTAAAACATAAGTAATTAATGAAAATATCGTAGTTTCGTCAAAATTTCATGATCTTTGTCGACGATTTTCGTGGTGTGTGAGCAGTTTGGACAAATTTCAAAATACATACTTAATAACTTTTATTTATTTATATTCAATATGAATTGATTTCGTTAAAAGCTAAAATACTATTGCTCGGCTGCTGAAAAGTTACAATTGCTACGATTTTTTTTTCTCTTAACACAGATATTTCGTCTAAAGAGTAGTAATTTTTGTTGTTTTTTAAAAGAAACTACATCATTAATTTTAAGAATAGTATAGCCTACACTGTACCTTTCTCGTTGATACAAAGAAATATATTATAAACGGAGTAAAATTAAAATTAAATTCATTTTCAAGAGCAAGCAATTGTTAGCCTTTTTTTTAATACCCATGTTTTGGGAGTACATTGAAAATATTTTATCTGTCATGTTGGGTTGTCCGCCATAATGTATTGATGACGTCACATAAGAAAACAAATGTAATCAAAATAAAGGAATATACAAGAAATTTCAGCTTGATCAATGGTAGTCTCTTCTAAAAAAAATTGTTGCCAGATGCCATTAGATCAAACATTTCAATACATACTTTAATGAAAACTAGTAAAATATATACAGTTTATTATAGAATTTGTATTATTCCGAACTTAAAATAGAAAGTTACTAACTTAATAACTATTAATAATATTTCAATGTTTTGTATACTTAATACGACTTCTTTGCAGTCTGATGCATTAGCACCAATCTACATTTTAGGGCACCAGAATATTTTCACTGCAAAGTAATACAATCATTAACTAGTAGTTTTATTTTGGACACTAATGTAGGTCACGTAGCAATGATTGTAATTATAAATCTATCAATGGCGCTATAATTACAAAGACCTTTGGCATTTGATATCGGCCCTGGCATTAAACAAGGTTTTGACAGTTTTCACTTATCAAGTTTGTTTCATATAGGTATCATTGTATACAGCCAAATTGTATTATTAATATGTGTAGAACATAAAAGATCTACGAAAAAGAGGCATTCTTATTAAATTAATGTTTAAAATAATGTTTTATGTTCATTTGTAGGTAAATGTGAAAATAAATGAAAGTAATATTTTTCGGATGATGCGAATTTATTTTTTATCAAAAACTACATACTCTCGAAGTTCCATCCGAAAAATATAAGTTTCATTTAAAAGAATACTCGCGAAAATTTTAGATCTCAAATAAGAAAATAAATTGACTGTAAGTACTCGATGTAATACCTATATTTTAAGATTAATTGATTTGGGCAAAACCCGAAACAAGATTATATTCAATATTAAAGTATTTTTTTATTTTTATTTATATCATATCATTATTAAACTATTAAACTCAAAGACAAGAAGAAATATTACTGAGAGTTGTGTACCTAATAAATTACTGATTACATGTTTTTCTCTTTCTTCAATCTGTATCACGAACAAAACAGATATATTCTTTTGTAGTTTAAAAATTATTACAGATAATAAACATATTTTTCTTTTAAAATCTAAATGGAAAATACATTTAGTAATACATCGACATTAATAACAAAGATCAATTGATCAGATATAGTTACTGAAATGTTGCCAGAACCAAATATAACGACGGTACATAAACTCAAGAGTGATTTATACAGCCGGTTGGATGTCTAAGAAGTTTTAATACGTTTTAATATTTCTTAAGGAAACTCACAAACCAGATTTTATGTATTTGTCCAGGTATTAGCTAAGCAAAATTTAGGACATAAAAAATAACTGCAATCAAAGTGTATAACGATTACTTTTACACAATATTAAACAAATGAACAAAGTTATTTTAGTATACTATTTATACATAGGATATTAGGTTGGTTTTAAATATTTCAAAGATATAGTTAGAGAGAAATAGACAATTATACTATATTATGTTTACTAGATATATGTCTATAAATATAATTGGAGTGTCTGGTCACGGAATTAAATAAACGCTTCTTTATAAATATATAAAGATATATAAACTGTATTTATGAAACTACATTTTCCTACAAATTTTATTAATACGTCTTTTATTCCCGCTAATTTTTGAAATAGAATGACTGATTTCGACGAGACTTTCACTGGTACATACCTAAAGTTACTTACTTTAATTCAATTAATATAAGTAATAATTAATTAATTTCGCGTCGACAAGTCAAGGGCACAGCTAGTAATAAATAAATCTCTGTGCTATACTAACTGATTATAATTCAATTTTCCTACTAATGTTGTCAACGTAGGTACATATAACACGTATGAAGTAGGATTTTTAACTAATATTTCTTCTTATATTTGTTCACAGGTTGTTTCTTCACTAAATATTGCAAAGAATTAGCCGAGGAGCTCGGTATCTGCGGCTGGATTAAGAACACGAAGAATGGGACAATCGTTGGGAAGATACAAGGCACAAAACTACATGTGGACCAAATGTAAGTTAATATATATTTCATAAAAATAAGGATTCCTTATATCTGAATAACAAAGACGTGACAAAAATCTCATAATGCTACCATAATTAAGAATAAAGTACATATTTAAATTAGAAATGTTTATTTTCAAACTGGTCTTTATATAAATCCAACTTAATCACTGATAGCACTATTTAAATACGTCATTATCTTTTTGTTAGTTCTTGGAGCAAATCTTCGACGCCTTTATTTAAATTTTGCTTTAATAAAGCTTTTCATTGCCTTCAAAACCAACTTTTTGTCAAAGTTTCTCAATAGCCCATATTCTCTCACTTATATTTGCATTGGATTCTTTTTACTTTATGTTTGTTGTATTAAGAAAAATGTAAGGAAATTAATGTCAACATTTATTTATGAGACTTTTTTAATTTTAGAAGTAGAAACTTCCGTAATTAGTACCGTTGTATATGCATATCTGTACCTACATATAAAAATGTTAAGTTAGTTTGTGTATGCTTCAAAACCTCAAAATTTTCTGCATCGAGTCAGAAGAAATTTTTACAAATAATATACCACAGGCTTCAAGAATTGTTATCTATTTTTCACGATACTAACATCACCCTAAGTGCACCAATGATCAGCTAAAACTCTCGAACGGCACACGACTAGCTGTGAAAAAAAAATGAACAACAGTGGCCAGTTAGTAGACTCAACGATTTGAACGAAGCCCTGCTAGTGTGAAAATTTCTTCTTTGCTTGAATTCCCATGATCCCCACCGATACACCATTTCAATTTAGAAGATTCAATTCCCAATTGGATTCTAGTACTAGGTAAAAATAAATTAAAGAAATATGTTAAAATTAATAAATATATTAAGAAAACTCAAAAATTAATAAAATCAAGAAATTGTTGCTTAAATTATGAAAAAATATATAAAGAAAGAAACACACTCAGACAAAAAATTATTGAATATTCTAAGAATGTTAAAGTAATTAGACAAGGTTATGAGGCTGACGTGAGTGCTCTTCAGGCTGAGATAACACACTTACATAACTCTTTAGACATAATGTCAAAAAAATATGAAATGTCTCAAAAAGAAATATCTGGTCATATTGCTGCCATGAACGATCTACTAGACTTGAGTAAATACAATTCTGAGCGCTTTGACTCTCTTATAAAAAACTATACTTGTGATTGTCAGGACCGTTCAGTCTCAGGGGATAGTTCAGGGCTGCTCAATGATGTAGTGTCCTTGTCTCAGCCGACAGCTCATGGCAGCGCCATACCCAACGAAACACTTCATGTTCCCACCAATAAATGTACTAAATTGTATAGTGATGAATTGGGAAGAAACTTGGGTGTTTTGCTCAATGACTTGTGTAAGGGACAATCAGTATCAAATTATTGTATGCCGGGGGCAAGTTATTCCCATATTATGAACAGTGTTTTGAATGATACTCATTGTCCCAATACTACACTAATTATATTAGTTGGGAGAAGGGGAAATGTGAACAAAAAAATTCTTGAAAATTATTATTCTAAATTATCAAATTTAAATGTCGATAGAATATTAATGTTCACATTTCCTTATATTAAAGATGTGCCACAGGAAAATTTTATTAGATTTAAATTAAATAATATGTTACATATCATGTCAAATACTTATTATGTAACAAAAAATGATATTTGTAATAAAATTAAACTAATTGACATTAATAACATAATTAATAATAATTCTTGTTTATTGACATGTGATAGGTGTCACCTATCTAATTTTTATAAGAGACAGATAGCTAGTTTGCTATCATATTTTATTTTTAAAAAATCAACCAATGGTTTGGTTGACCAGACAACTGCTTCTATTGAGCAGTATAATAATAATAACTTATATATTTTGGAACACGTTCCAAGTAATTTAAATTAAGTTCTAAGACAATAGAGGTAGTCTCTGGCAACTGTAATTATGAAAAAATAGTTACTATAGAAGCCAATTTAAATAATAAGAAAATAAATAACAAACAAAATGTAAATCTGGTGCACCAAAATATTCAAGGAATGTTAGGGAAAGACTTAGAAATTGAATTATTTTTGACCTGTAATGACATTGATATTTTGTGTTTAACTGAACATTGGCTTCTAAATTATCAGGCTATGTTTAACTTTAGTGGACACCAGATTGCTAGTCTGTTCAGTAGAAATAAAGCCATACGAGGTGGCTCTTTAATACTCCTGTGTAAAAATATAAAATTTAAAGAACGTAAAGATATTGTGAGCCTTTCTATTGAGCAAACTATTGAAATAGCCTGTGCAGAGCTTGAGCGTGTCATTGTTGTATGCGTATACAGGCCCCCTAGTGGATTATATGAATTGTTTGAAAATATATTGGACAATGTTCTATCTAAATTATCTGGATCTAATAAAGAAATTATTGTCTGTGGTGACTTTAATATAAATTTATTGCATAATTCAACCACAAGTATTAGATTCAGATCTTTGTTAAGTTCATATAATCTGGTAAATCTGTTCTTAGAACCAACTCGAATAACAGATTCCACAGCAACTTGCATTGATAACATATTTGCTTCCTGTATTCCACAAAACAAAATTATTATTAATAACCTAAGTTCAGATCATTGTGGACAACAAGCCATATTTAATTTTCATGTTAAAAAAATAAGTACTTCTGAAAAGATAATGTTTGTTCCTTTGACCGCAAGTCGTATTGAGAAGTTTAGAAGTAATATTATGGCCAATCTCCCTCACATATATCTTAGTGATAATCCCAATGTATTATTTAACAATCTATTTAAATTAATTAGAAACAGTTTTAAATCAATATTCACTTCTAAAACAGTCAATACAAATAACTTTTTAAAATTCAGTGATTGGGCGACTATTGGAATTCATAAAAGCAGGCAGCGAATGTATGAGCTTTACAATGAAAGAACGTAAAATCATAGTGCCACTTTTGCCAATTATGTAAGTAACTATTCTAAATTATTTAAAAAAGTGTGCTTTTTGGCAAAATCTCTAACCATAAAAAATAAAATTAAGAATGCACAAAACAAGATAAAAATGACTTGGAAAATTATTGGTTGTGAAACTGGTAGAGTTGGCAGTTGCAACTCCGATTTGAGCCTGAATTATAATTCTAAAGTAGTAAATAGTCAAAAGGAAGTTGCTACAGTTTTTAATAAATTCTTTGCTGACGTACCAGTTTTGACAACTAAGTTACTTATTTCTTCTCCAGATGTTGCCGAGTCACTGATGAAAGAAAATGTAAGAGCTTGTAAATCTAACTTTAATTTTACCCTTGTAAACCCCAATGACATAATACGAGCCTTCAAGTCACTAGACATCAAGAAAACAGCTGATTTATGGGGTATTTCTCTAAAGGTTATAAGTTCGATTATTGATGTGATTGCACCTTTTCTTGCTGTAATATTTAATAGTTGTGTCCAACGTGGTATATTTCCTGACCTGATGAAACATAGTAAAGTTATTCCAATATTTAAATCGGGTAGTTCCTCAGACCCCAATAACTATAGGCCAATTTCAATTCTACCTACCCTGAGCAAAATATTTGAGAAAATAATTCTAAATCAATTATTAGAACATTGCAACAAACATAATCTGCTTCATAGTAAACAATTTGGATTCACGAGGGGTCGCTCGACAACAGACGCTGGTATCGAGCTTATTAAGAATATCTATGATGCTTGGGAGGAGTCACGGGATGCCTTAGGGGTTTTCTGTGACTTATCCAAAGCCTTTGATTGTGTTCAACATGAGACTCTGGTCAGGAAACTATATCACTATGGAATTAGAGAATGTGCGCTCGACCTTCTGACTTCTTATCTCAACAATAGAATTCAGAGGGTTGACGTTAAAGGAAAAAGGTCTCCTGGGGTCTCAGTTGGTATGGGGGTCCCTCAGGGATCAATTCTTGGACCTTTTCTGTTTCTCACATATATAAATGACTTGCCCTTTCTTGTTGGGAACAAACATGATATAGTATTGTTTGCTGATGATACCTCATTAGTTTTTAAAATTAATAGAAAACAGGTACAGTACGACGACGTAAACAATGCTATAGCTGATATAGTACATTGGTTTAGTGTAAACAATCTTAGGCTAAATAATAATAAAACAAAAATTGTAAAATTTAGTACACCTAATGTACATAATGTAAAAGCCGATGTACTCATTAACGGGGAATCGATGGATCCAATTGATTCTGCTGAGTTTCTTGGCCTTACTGTTGATGCTAAGTTGCAATGGGGCCCCCATATTAGCGGATTGGCGAGTAGACTGAGTTCTGCGGCATTCGCGGTCAAAAAAATTAGATTATGTACCGATGTTGATACGGCTCGCTTAGTATATTTCAGTTACTTTCACAGTATAATGTCATACGGTATTATGCTGTGGGGCAACGCAGCCGCTATCCATACTATATTTGTGCTACAGAAGAGGGCTATTCGCGCAATCTATAACCTAGGAGCTAAAGAATCGTTAAGGAATAAATTTAAAGAAATCAAGATATTGACTGTTGCTTCTCAATATATATTCTGCAATGTTATGTATGTACGAAAAAATATTAATGATTTCATGAGAAAATGTGATACTCATAGCATTGGTACAAGGAACAAACATAAACTTGTTACTCCTGTTACTCGACTACATAGAGTCAGTAACTCCTTTGTGGGGCAATGTATACGGTTTTACAACAGGATCCCAGAAAGCGTTCAAAATGCCTCAATTGCTAAATTTAAAAAAATTATTAAGGAACGCTTGTGTGCAAAAGGTTACTATACAATTAAGGAGTTTATGAACGATAGCACACCTTGGGAATGAAACGCTCGCCTCCTGGCTATTTCATCTCATATTAAATTGTGTATATTGTAATATATGAGAGAAATATATATATATATATATAAAAAAAAAAAAAACCCGCTGAGTTTCTTTCGCCGGTTCTTCTCAGGTCAGGGTATTTTCTTTTCCGAACCGGTGGTAGTCTCAAATGACCATCAATAAGAAAGTGTAATACTTCTATATTGAATAAAGTTGTTTGAGTTTGAGTTTGAGTTTGATTGGCGGTCACAGTCACTATTAAAAAAGCTCAAGGCCAATCCAATAGAACAGCAAAGCCAGTAGAAACGTGTGGTTTGGATTTAGATGTAAATTGCTTTTCACGTTGAACATTGTATGTTGCGTGTGAAAATCAGATAACTTCTATATATACTCAAACAAGGGGAAAGCAAAACATATTGTATACCCACAAGCACTGAAAAATTAAACTTCAATAAAACATGTGCTGTATTTTGTTGTTCACGGTGAAGCATGGCGGGGCACAACTAAAATGTATATATCGGATTTATTACAAATTCGTTGATTTTAAAAGAGAGGGACGCCAGCCTCGCTGACGTAACAAATGTCACTTTTTCTAGAGCGTTCCATGATATTTTTAAAATGAAACTGCAATTGTTCTTAATGCTCCTGTATTTCTCAAAGATTCTTTATAATCACATACTTCAATGATACGCACTCACTGAACTCTGAATTCTCAATTCTGAAGTCTCAATTCTGGAGTCCGCGGTCGTGCGTCCCGACGTCATATTTATAACAAGATTTAAACATAGTTCTATTCTCTTTTGATTTCGTTTTACTTTTAACAATAATCATAAATACTAATGAGGTTTAATAAGAATTGATGACAGCCTCAAATTATTTTCAAGTCGCATCCGTTATTAAAGCTGATAGCGCCGATATATATATTCATAAATTATCTGATGAAAAAACGTATAATGACTATTCGAGATTATCTTTAAAGCTTTTGTTAACAGCGCCATCTCTTATCGATTGATGTAAATGTAACTAACATTATAATATATGAAGTGGATTTAATGGGATTTTCCGATGTTTCCAGGATCCACTGGTTAAGCAACACAGGTTCTCCTGGCTGCAAGATTCAGAAATGCGATCTCAACAACTGGCAATATTTGTCGAGGCTCGATTACAACAACTTCAGTATACGTTTCTGAATATTTAAAATAAAGATAAAAATACAGAAAATTTTCTTTTATTGGTTATAAAAATCAGTTATATAAATTTAATCTTGTAGAAATTTTAGAACTTTTAAGTTTAAGGTATTTTTTTTAGGTTTCTTATAAAATAAAAGTAACTCATTCGTTATCACAATATGGATTCGCAATTTTTCTACAATTTTTTTATATAATAAACTACAATTTTTTTTAACTTGTAAGAGCCAGTAGCAGAATTAACAGAAGAATTGTTAATTACGAGAAGATATTGACCAAAACAAGATTTTATTTTTATTTTCTTGTAGGAGGGTTTTGAAATCATAAGATATTTGGTAAAATAAATGTATATATTTATGGGTAGACGCTATGTACATTAACTTAAGAGTTAAATATCATACAAGCGGAATGTTCTCGAAGTGACTTAGATTGTGTCTTAAATAGATTATTATTACTTATATTATTACATGTAATATTATGATTTTACATCTTTTGAGTTGATAATATGAGTTAAAGAAGGTTTCATAGTTAGTAGAACTTTTTTTAATCGGTAAAAATTAATACTGTGATGATATTGAGGACTTTGTACATGAATTTGTACTTTGTGGTAGACATGTCAATAGCATAGTTTCTAACATGACGTTTCCGGTGAAGTCAGTGAAATGTCCATATGTTTTAATGAAAACATTGCTGAAGTATTGTAAATTAAACAATATTACAATTAAGTAATTACATTTACAAAACTAAGCAACACGTAACAAACTATTTACATTCTTTGTGCGTAGTACATTTATAATACAACATAGAAATTCACTGAAATAACAGAGAAATTAATTATTACAAAATAATTGTATTAAATAAATTATAAAGTGGCGTCATAATAGTTCTAAGTCACCAATACATTTATATTTTACTACTGCACTAAAAATAACAATAAATTGACAGAAATGTCACAAATAAGACGACTGTAAAAAAACAACATACTGTATAACTACTACTGTTTAATACAAATAAATTATGAATCAACTATTTGATATAAAGCTGGATATTAATAAAAAAAGAATTAAAAAATATTAAGAAATATAGCCTTTATGACTTAGCTCGTAAACTGTTCATTAAAATAACTTTTGGTTGAAATAAAACTATGTTATATTTCTGCTCAAAATTCGATCTTTTAAGCTAAAATACAACGAAAAATTTGAATAATTGGAACTATTTATACTTTTTCTTCTGGCATCTGTAGAGGTACGTTTGCATCTTCTGTTTCTTTGGTTGTTTGATTCACGTTCTTATGTCTCTTCTTAATTCTTTCCTTGTGAAGATATAACCTCAAGTAATGGCACGGAAAAACCACGCAGTCCCCGGCAGGTTCCTCTGCATCAATATATACTCCTCGGACCAGCACCGAGTTGGAGCAGTTCAGAAGAATGAGCAGAACCAGGCTGATGATGTGCGAACACCAATTACTGAGTTTCGGAGTTTCTGTAGAAATAACACACATATAGAAAAGGTTTTTAGCATAAAAGTATATAAAAACATCTGATGCTTAGGCTTCAATAACACAATTGTGTCAGTCAAAACACGAAACAAAACAAAACAATACAAACAAAACAAGAAACTTTGTATATGGAAAATTGATCTCAATCAATGTTCACATAAAATTCAATTAAAATATCAGTCAGTTATATTGACATATAGGTCAGTGGTGGCCTAGAGGTTAAAAGGTCCGCCTCTCATGCACGAGGGTGCAGGTTTGATCCTGGCCCGGACAAGAGATGTGACAGATGTGATTTTCCCGAATAATATGTACTTTCTAAGAGTATTTAGACATCACTGATTAATGCATTCCCAAAGAGGGTTGATGTCAAGCGGGCGGCCGGTCGTAAATACAATTAGCAAAAACTATTCACAACATGTAAGGCAGATCCTGGCTAAAGCTGGGAAATTGCCAGGTAGAAGATAATATATTGACATACCTGGGAAGAAATATATGTCCATTAATCCCCAAACTCCTCGCCACACATTGACTGTGGCTATGAATGACACGAGGTGGTAGAAGTCTGCCAACAGTAGTCTTACAGCACCCTGACTCCTGGCGACCGCCCATCTCATAGGAGCCTGGGCAGCGAAGGTCATCACAACCAAAGCGTAACCCACAACCTGTTGTTAAAATTATTTATTTAAGATTCACCAGTGATATACATCAATACGTACAAAGTTATACAATTATTATACAACTTAAAACTAAATGCATTAGAATAGGTGAATAACATGGTCTTAAACATTATTCCTGCCACCAATGTTTCGTAGTAGCGAAAATAAAAAAGGTATTATAGATTTAAACTTCGTATATTCGACAGACTATATACATTTTCATAACGTGTATATTTAAGATGACAAAAACGGAAATCTTTTATTCTAAATCTGTGAAATATTAAATTAAACAGGAAGCTTTCATGGACAAATCCAAATATAACAGTCTTTCTAGTTATCGGTAATTTATTTATATGAAGGAGGAAGATTATGTGTATTAAAATAAATAATAAAAAACAAAATTGTATTCCTAAAAGTGAAATAATCAAAAAGTTACTCAAGATTGACAGCTAATATAAAATATTAAAAATATACAAACAGGTCGTAATGACCGAATAAGTTGTGGATTTAATCTCACTACCTCAAATGGTTTAATTGAAAGGGTTTTTCAATTTTCTAATTATGTTTATTACGATATATTCACAAGATGCAAAATATACTGAATAGTAATCTATATATATAAAAATTAATCCCTTTTTCCCTTGGTCACGGCATCACGCGTGAATGGCTAGGCAGATTTCACTAATTTTCATTTGTTGTACTTATTTGTTATTACTAGGAGAAGGCTCTTATGTAAGAAAAATTACTAGAAATAACTAACTAACTAAAATTACTAGAAAGAAAAACTAGAATATTTCACTTTTTTAATAAAGTAATGTGTCACTCGCAAAATATTCACGTAGTTAGAATAAAGCATTAAAATAATAAATACTTTGTTTTTGGAATATTTTTGATTTATTAATATACCAATTAGAATTTAATAATCACAGTTAAGAAGACAGAAATTGTCTGTCGAGTCAGCTATACTTATTAAATAAATTAACTTCATTCAGATAAAAAGATAACATATTTCTTGATTATAGGGCGTTACAAAGTTCACCGGGTCAGCTAGTATATGTTCCAAACATTGATTTCAAAAATCTTTAAAAATTTCTAAGTTTATGAATGTTTAATAAAAACAGTAATCCTTATAAAAATTCCTTCCAGTCTTTAAATTAAACTTATCAGATTGGTATCACGATAAATAAATAAACACTATAATATAAATAGCGTAATCTTGATATAACTTTCATAATTGTAAACAATAACAGCTGATTCCGACTCACAGACGCCATTATCCGGCAACAACAGTGCGCAATGGCGCCCGAGAAAAACCCTCAACAAACTTATAAAATATATTATAAATAAATATGTATAAATGTAATATATAACATTTATTATATTGTTCGTGTTATTGTCATATGTAAATAGGTTTAAATATAGTATGTTTGATGTGGAATTAAGACTATGTAACGGATATAGTGCTGTGTGCTTTGTACTTAAAGAATTATGACGTAATACAGTGGCTACATAATTTGAAAAGAATATTTGTAATAGAATAATAGAAGTATCAACTACTTTCTTCGTCTTTTCACTGTGGGGAAAAAGACACATTCGTAAAATATTTCATTAGCAATTTTTTTTCCGTAGTATCTTTTAAGAAATGGATGTATAGATATTCTTGGGATTACTATATTTAAAAACAAATAATTGTAAATTGTTGTGAATCAATATTTAAGTATAAACCTTTCGAATGTTTTTTGGTAAAAAAAGAAATAGGTATAATATATTATTTTAAGTCTCTTTAGTAAAGAAGTATCCCGAATTTTCTCAGTTTTCCTTTGGTGACGTAATATTTTTCTTTATCCCTAACATTAAATTCGTCAAGTGCATGAAATGACAGTAATGTTATCTTTAACGAGAGGTTCAATGAACAAGAAAACAATCACGATAAAATAGTTTGAGTCTAAGTATAAATTATTATGCCATTGATTAAATTTTTAAGTTATTTCTTCTGTACAAAATCTGTACATACAATGGAACGAAATAGTGAATGTTATTTTTATCTGTTCCTCAGCAAGGAATGTTTTTCCTATCATAACAATTATAAGCCAGAAAATAGTCAAATACTTTTACGGTCAATAAAACTAAATTCTTGTTTGTTCAGATTTAAGGATTTTGTTAAAGCAATATAATATACTGATAACATCTATCTTTTGTACTATAATAAGTACTCTTATTTTTAAGTACTCTCAACTCATTTTAAGAAACCATTAATCATCAGATTTGCAGTTCATTATCGCGGCTTAACTAAGAAATACTGCACTAATAATTGAATAATTCAGATTTGATTTCATAAATGGTAATTACCGTTATTGGACACTTGATTCATATGAAGACAGGAAAAAATTATGAACTAACTCAAATTACAACTGTTTTCCATATCATCTAAATATAGAGCATTATTACCTCGTTGAGAAGCCCGTTTAACGTAAACACTCCAGTAATTTGCATTTGTGTCTTGTTATTTTCGTTCTTCCGTACATTTGATATGTCAAAGGTTGAGGTCAATGAATTAGTTTATTAATACTTTGATTAAATTTCTATATTTTAATGCATATTTGATGCATAGAAGATGATTTCTCGGAAGAGTTTTATCTTATGAACAAACATCTCTTTAAAGATTGTTAATTAACTTAATTTACATACCAAACGTTTTAGAAATTTTTCTCCATAATATTTTGGGCGAAAAGCGAAATATTGTTTAACGCCATCAAATTTCAACTTTATTTAATAATATTTATTACGATAATCAAAAACAGATATCCCTATTGACCTTAAAAACGCGACGAAGTATCAGTTGAGTACATCGGGGCTGCTCGCAGGAAGAACCAATTGCGATGCATAAGTGGTCACTGACTCAATATACTATGACCCATATGCGGAAAACATTGTGAATTTGACAATCATATGTCGTCTTTGATAATAAAATGAGAGATATATTACAATATAAGTCATTTTTTCATAGCTGACTTCGCAAGAACAATTTGAGAATTTAAAAAAGATATATCATGTAGATTTACACTATGTACTGGTTCTCATAATGAGATCTAAGAGGTCTTGGAAACCAAACTAGGATTTTATTGTTTTAACTACATACTCCCGAAATTTCGGTTACTTCGTAGCAACCGTGATCACGGTTACGTCGGGAGTATATAGTTAAAAAAATACGCATAGTAATCAGAAAAATAGTTCATTTAACATATGTATATCATGTATTTCCTAAGTATGGTGGAGTTAATACAACACGAAAATTTTTGTGGATGGCCAATGTTATAATTAAATACTCTTGCAATAAAATTTAGATTGAATAATATGATCTTTTAGAAATTGGAAAACAGCGGGAAAATTGTATATATAGTGGTCACTGATGAAATAAATATTTTTTTGTAAATAATATCAATGAAACGGTGCTTGTATTTAGTTTCCAGAATGATTAACACATACTAACGACGTTGGAACGAATTAATCATGGGTTTGTGAATGGTTAAGTCAGTGGTGGCCTAGTGGTTAAGGGGCTCGCCTCTCGTTGTCGAGGGCGCGGGTTCAAACCTGGCAAGTACCAATGTGATTTTTCGGAGTCATATGTACTTTGAGAGTATTTAGACACCACTGACATACGGTAAAGGAAAACATCGTGAGGAAACCTGGACTTATAGTTTCACAATTATAAGTTTGAAATCACCAACCCGTCTTGTCTTGAGCAAGCGTGGTGATTAATGCTCAAACCTTCTCCATGTGAGAAAGAGGCCTTTGCTCAGCAGTGAGCGTCTGATAGGCTGATGATGATGATGATGATGATGGTGAATGGTTAGGCTTACCAGAGAGGTCCAGCAGGATCTGACAGTATCTCCAGGGTAGAGGAAAATGTCCAGCAATGCCCAGGAGCCACGCCACACGAACACAACCAACGAACCAACCACCGTGACAGAGAACACACAGTCCAAGATGTACAGAGCGGTCTCCTTACTGCTCTGTGAAAGAACACTGAGATTAAACAGGGTTGCTTTATACATATATAATGAAAAATCATTGTTTTTAGATGATCTTAAATATTGATAAGTTATTGTCCGTCCAGGGTTGTGAGTTATCTGAAATAAATAGGATTTAAAAGGCATAAAACAATGTGAATTTTAAAGCATTTCATTTTAAATTGAGTGGGAGTTTTTTCAAAAAAATCATCCTTACATATGTATACTTATATGCTTATCCTTATATCCTTACTAGAGTAGAAATGTCATTAACGTCTTGTTAAAAAACGAGTGATCCAATTATCTACGGAAAATAAGGATTAGTATCCCAAAAATAACATTAAATTACAGTCCAGTTTTAATAAACTCTCTAACAATAATAATAATAATATAGCCTTTTCACAAAAAAGATCACATAACACTTTAACAACTGTCACATATTCGAGTATACGTAAGAAAGCCTTACAAGATTTATGAAAAGGGTTGATACTGTTACAACTATTCGACAAATATTAAACAAACATGGCTAAGAACCACCGCAGGGAAATTGGTCTTCAAGTGAAAAGAATTGCATCAAAATCGGTCACTCCGTTTGAAGATGCAATGCCACAACTAGACATTCACAAACACAAAGTCACACATCGGCTTTTGCCGAGAGCATTGAGAAATATTCTCAATATTGAAAACCTCATATTTATATCAAACTTATCCTACAATCTAAATATTAAGTTACTTCTAATAAAAATATTAATAACAACCATATTAAAACGTAATTAGCTAAAATGAAAGAGTCAAATGATTTACATACTTATTTAAGAATAGTCAAGATTTACTTATTTTAACTTGGTACAAATAACCTGGACCAGTACATGCTTAGTGTTATATAAGTAATAGTTATTTGTTAAATAGGATTTATAATAAGCCAATATTATACATACATTGACCTTAGTTATACTGCGGAAGGTTAGCAAACAAAACATTGCATTAAGTGATTCTTTTCTTTCACATACATATAAATATGTTTATTACAGTATTTTACTTTAGTTTTATGATTTGTAAATAAAATGAGAAGTTTTTTAATGATAAATTAAGACTGAAAGTTAAGTATTTTTCATTTTATCACTATCAAAATGTACATATTTTAACATCAAGAGGTCAAATTGTACTATATAACTACATATCTGTCGATAACAGAAAAATACGAAATCTTGAAATTTTGCTACATTCATTTGCGATTTAAAAAATCTTAATATAATCTGATAAACATAATCAGTTTTGTTTCAGATTTTTTTCATGAAATGATGTTTAGAACTTTATATTTTTTTAAATATATTTAATGAAGATTTTAATTTGAGCAGACGCTGTAGTATTGTAATCTTCTTGCTAATTTAAATAATAATATGTTAGTTGGTGGCACTTTTTTTTACTTTTTTTAATAAGTTGACGTCAAAAGATATAAAATTATCTAATAAAAAGACTCACCCAGTAATTCTATTATCAGAACCATGTTTTACAACAAAACAATAATATCTTCTATTAAACAAACTTAAGATCATTTTAAGGCCTGCAAAACATTTTAAATTATATTTTAAATTCATGTCACCTGAACGTTTTCTTTGTAATTATATTATTGAACCCTACTTCTCTAATATTTTATAAATATGTACAATTTTGTACATAAAACATAAATTTTCTAAATTTGTTTTAATTTCTAATTTTTTGTTTATAAATCATATGTTAAATTTATGAAACGCACTTTCAATAACTCTGTGCATAGTTTGAATACCGAGATATAATTTTAACAATGATAGAAAGACAAGACACCATTGAAAATACTGCTTGTAATAAAACTGCAATTGCATAGATGATGTAGTAATTATTACCAGGAAAAAATTATTTGGATCATGGGATAAGACATTCTGGCAGATGTGGGGTTTTAAATTGTGCAAATAAATAATACCAGAGCACACCGTAATCTAGTCAGCGATTGTCTCATGCTGGGCGAGTTGCTAAATTATCATGTAAGAGGAAAACTCTAAGTAGCAATGACAACTCCGAAAGGCAACAAAAATATACCTATATAGAAATAAGGACAACTTCCAATAATATAGGAATATACTATGGAATTGCCTAGCAAGTACCAATGTGAATTTTTCCGAGTCATATGTACTTTCTAAGAGTATTTAGACACCATTGACAGACAGTAAAGGAAAATAATGAGGGAAAAAATAGTGGACTTATGATTGACTCCTTGGTTGGTGATTAATGCTTTAACCTTCTCTTGTGAGAAGAGGCCTTTGCTCAGCAGTGAGCTCTGATAGGCTGATGATGATGGTGATAATAGAATTAGACTTAAAGATTCCACAATTTGATTTTTAATAATTACTTTGACATGGATTATTTGTGCTGTGATTAAATTCAAGAATGGGAGAAACCATTTTACAAAGAAAGAATCAGTGCCAGATGAATGAAAATGGTGGAAAGTATAGAAGAAATGACCATTAGACTAAAAGCATATTAGCTACTCATAATACTAATTACATGTTTAAATCTTCACGTTGTTGTTTATTTAAAAAATACAAAATACAAATGGTTGTTAAAGATGCAAGTAAATACGTATGTTAAAAATATACCCTAACTTCGCCGCGATTAAGATATACACAAGATCTTTAGGGATGAATACTATGTTTTAAATATATCGATACTTCCCACGTAAGTTGTTGTATCTCCAAAACTGTAATTTTACAGGAGAGCGTTTTAAAGATTCAAATTAAACCAAAATCTGCATTTATTGATGCATTTTTTTTAAATTTCGAATTTAAATTTAACATAATAGTTTTCTTAACTACGTTAAAAGATATTTTAATTGATATGCCTATTTGAGGAGATATTGTTGTTTTATTGTTCATACGACATTTTACTCCGGAGTAGAAGCTAAAAAAGGTGTTGTATCTGATACTTACAACATTATACCGCGGCGCCCAGGTAGCATCACTTGTGGTGTATGATAGTTACAACTGTATACGTTGAAAAACATAAGTCTTACTCTGTTGTATATAACTCATACGCAGCGCGAGCGCGTGATTTTACCCACCTCGCGCCCCGCGTATACAGTTGCATAGGCATATACATCAATTTAATCCGTTCGCGTTTGAAAATTACAACATTATACGTCTAAAAAATCCTTTAAAAATAGTGTTTTTGTTGTTTTTTTTAATTTGAATGGATGTAATGATTAATAATAGGATATTTTTCATAAAAAAAGCAAAATAGCATTTTTGTGGCTTACAACAACTCACGTGGGAGGTATTGAATTATGTTAGTGAGTATATGATACTCGTATAATAGTAACGTCATATTGAATCTGTAAGAGATGCATTAAGCGGTATTAATACTTTAATGTGTCATTTTTTTATGTTAATATTTCTGAACAGACTAATGCTTTTTATCACCAAGGTCGTAAATATATAAGAAAACTGTTATAGATATACATTTCTATGCATAAATTCTGTGTTATACTCATACTGATCTTCCGATTTCGATAAAAATTTACTTGTTATCTACATATTTCTCGGTAATCAAGACAACGTTATTTGGAATTTGGAGATATAAAATATGCTTATAGGCCAGTAGTACATAAAAGTAAGTGTTATTAAAAATATATAATATATCTGTTTTTTATCATACCAATCAAAATTTTGGGTCAATGATTTCTTACTTAAATATATACTTTTTAATGGAGGAGAAATAATTTATAAAATAAGGGGCCCTTATATAATCTTATACGAAGCTATAAGCTTTACGAAGTATTTAAAAGAAATATGAGTAATGCAGATAAGTAATAATAAAAACTGTCTAGGATTTTTTTTCAAATATTACTAATGTTTTTTCCTAATCTTATCAAAAATGTTTTTTGGATTTTAAGTCACATGAGTGATAGAAGAATAGATCTATCAAACGCAGACATAGTGAAACTAGATGACGTTTATAGTTATAGACAAAAAAAATGTGACCAAAAAGTATCAATTGAATAGTTTTCACTTATACAGAGTCACTAAGAAATAATATGAATTGAATGTTCTAGAGCAGACGGCTCTAAATGTTATCTTAAATAAATAGACATGTCGATTATTTTAAGATTTACATTTACGTCAAAACAATTATTTGTTGATTGAAATTTCCTATTAACAAAGACGCGTCACCAACACTTACTTCTTTTGAGGAAAAAGATACTTTATTTTATTTTCTTTCAAATACCCTAATTCTCTATAGTATTAAAAATGTAGTTTAAACTTTAACATATACGAAATTACTTTAGAAAATTATGAGAATAGAATATGTACCGTTTTATAAAACGTCGGCGCCTCAAAATAATCCTCTGGTGTGTCCACTTGTATGCAGAACGGTGCCGAGTCCAAATTCGTTAAGCCTTTCAGCCAAATTATAGCTATTGTTGATATAACCGTTGAGATTATTATGAGTCGAGTTTCTGTTATAGTGCACTCAAGAATATTCCAAACTCCCCTACAGGCTGCAACATTAACGACCCCGGCCACACACGTGTATAAACGTGTAATAATAAAATATTTGGTCGTCCCAGCGCCGGGTGTCAACTTTCTATTAAGGCTCTCCTGTCCCATATACAACACGAGACCAAAAATTATACCGAAAGCAGCTGTCCAGTAAGCACTCTTAAACGGATGGTCAGGATACACGTAGAGATCCATAAGGGCCCACAACGAACGCCAATGTACAATTATCAAAGGACCGGCGACTACTGCCGTGAACAGAATATCAATTATCTCTAAGAGAGCGTCTGTCTTAGCCCCAGAGAGCGTTTGTAATAAGAGCATGCTTCCAAGTATATTCGGTGAATGATTGTGCGTGGTCAAACACCACGCCACACTCCTTATATTATTATCTGGCTGCCTCTTGCTGAGGAAATTTCCACTTTATTCACGCGTTCTCACTGACTTTCTTATATTAAAGCGTTCGTCATCTGATGAACAGTCCTTTGGCGCCGTATTGTGCACTAGGTTTTATTTTCATGAAATATTCGCGAACCAACTGAGTCGAAAGGGAAAACATTTGCAAAATATAAATGTGAATTAATGTATTAAAGATTATTGTGATTATTTCTTAGGGAACAACAGAATATTTGACAATAAATGAGTCGCGGTAGTTGTATGTGTACACTGAACAGTATTGAACTTATTAGCGCCATAATCGCTATATATACGCGCGTTATTTTCACACCCACCAATATCTACGAGTTATCTTAAATCTCAAGCTAAGTAAGGATATTGATTATTGTAGAAAAGTTCCGTATCCGTATGAATTTCTTTATTTTAATATTTATAATTAAACTGTTATTATTAAGCTCAAAATATTTCATAACATTCTTCCCATATGTATAAGTTTATGGGACTTTATGCTATTAAAATTTGTTCTATTATTTTAATCACAATTATCTAAATAATAATATTATATCTGTATTTAATTTACTTTGCTACTAAAGAAATTTGATATGAAATATTTTCAAATTTTTGTTCATATCTACACTTTAATAGTATGTTTTTATCATAGCGATCTGTTTACCATCCCATTACGAGTTACAAAGCCAATATATGCAGACAAACCACAATCAGATTCGAGGAATAATTAAGCGCTTTAAGACAAAGATTTGAACAGAAGGAACCCTAAACTACTTTAGAATGATAAAATAGATAATATACATCAATTTTAAGTTAACAATGACAGGTACATTACCAGAATTCTGCAAATTATTTTTGAATATTTATAGTTTACCGGATTTCACTAGGTTTTTGGACCTTTCAGTAAAAATATGATGATGAACAGAAAAAAAAATAAGAATCGAGTAGTATTGAGAGACTCGTCTATTAATCTTGACATAAGAGTGAATAGACTGACGTTATAAAGGCAAGGTGAATTTGAAAAAGATTTCAAATTGTCATCATATTAAAATGTACGTTTATTGGTTTCAGATGTTTGGTGCCCAATAAATGCAAGATTAAAAAATACATAAATCTCAACAACTTAACGATAAAATACTAATTCGATTAATGATACAAGAACAATCAAACTAATTGCTACATGTAGCTTAAAAACAGTATTTAAACAGACAAAAACCGTTAAAGAACCGTGAAAGAACTTCATCATTTGTTTTCTTTGGACCTACTGTAATTTTTGTTATAATTTTCTAGCAACAAAATATTAATATCATTTAATAGTATAGTGCAGTATAGTTAATAATGTCCTTTGAAGAAAAAAATATCCGATTTATAGAAAAAGACATTGTATTTATTGCCACATGTAGTAAAGATTATTTCAATATCAAACTAAAGTATGTCCTAGTGTTCAATATAAATGGACTTTAAGTCATTCTTTTGATAATTAAATCATTTAAATTCATATTAAATAGGAAAACAGTGAAGAAACAGTGAGAAACTGAGGTGTTGAAAAAAATACTCAAAATATTGTATACAATTTTTAAACTATCGACAAATCTAGTAGAAAATTGTCGTAATATTTATATATTACGTTCCGTTATTCCTTGTTTTATATACATACAATGTCTTCATCTGAATCATACAAGGTTGATTATAAGTGTTTAAGCTCCTTTATCGGTTATTCAGAAATATGTTAAGCGTGGGTAAGATGGAGCAACAACAATTAACAAAAATAGATTATCGTAGAGAAACTATACTAAAATTATCGCGTGTTAGATTTTAGTGAAAACTTATCTAAATGAAACTATAATTTTTGGAACTATAATTTTACATTCCATTATTATTCAACAATTTAGAAGACTAGTGTTTATGTAAAACATATTTTTTATACTGACGTTTGCAGACAGAGGACAAAATTTAAAAGATTAGATCCCGGTGATAAATAAGTGAAACTTAGTATTATATTTTCTTAATAATCGCGGTGTTAATAAATGTAACATAACGGTTTTTATATATCTGAGCGGAAAATTGTATCAAAGTAATAAAATTAATAAGACCTAAATATCAGATCTTGGGTTATTTCGTTAATAGATATGTTTTTTAGAAACGAGTTACGTAATCAATATGAAATAATAAATCAAAAGTTATTTATTCTTTACATTTCAAAAAAGCATATATAAATATAGACACAAAGAGTATTGGAAATATATTATTAAATAAAATGATCTTAAAGTTCACGTGAGCAGTGCAAAACTATATTTGAAATATTTTTAAAACGTGCTTTTTATATGTAGCTAATATCCAAACATGAAGAGATTTAAATTAGGTTTGAATGTTGCTGAATTACATGCAACATTTTTGTCTTTTTAATTTTGTTCGTTAAATTTTATTATAAAATGAAGAAAAAGTCATCATTCTAATTAGGTATTAAGAATATCAAAAACTAAAATTTCCGGTTAAAACGCATGTTATAATTTAAATCTAAAAAGATAAATTAGTGTTCTGGTTGGTACAATAGCACGTAATTTGGTTTCCGTACCAGAGTCTTTAAGATAAAGTAAGCGGTTGTTTTTAAAAATATTTATATACATATGTAGATTTTTAATTAAAAAATATGTGGAATAAGAAACTCAGTTCCAATAATAGTGTGAATAAACGTCGAAATCAATTAAAGTAAATAATTGGACTGTCCTGAAATATAAAATAAGATATTCAAATGAAATTATGAAAAAAATTGTTTGGAGCTCTTGCTTTTCCTTCAAACTGTTTTTGATGAGCTCAGGGTAAAAAAATATGCAATTTTATTAACAATTTAAGGCTAAATAAATAAGTGAATGAAAAGTATCCTAAAACAATTTCCGAACGAAGATAATTATTTCAACTTAAATTATAACTTTTACAGCTCTATATCCGTCACTATTTACATTAATTTTTTCATCACTTCACTGTCACATATCTGTCTAAATCGAATACTATTCTGTCAAAGAAGTATTGTGTAAATTTCTGAATCACAGCACTTTCACTGTTCAGACTATATCACATACTCAACTGAAAATGATGATATCTTATTGTGTGACGTTCAACAAATCCTTGTCACGTAATGCTTGTTTGTTGTGGACGCAAATATTAAGACTGTTTTTTTTTAATATAATTAAATCAAAGCATGGTTTTGATTTACATGACTGACATTTTATTGTAGTCCAAAAAGGAGGATGAATAATTATTTTAAAATATAAATTAAAACATGTACATAAAGTAAATGTAAATGTTATCTTGGCGCCAATTTTAATTGATGAATAGCTTAAAATTTTCACAGATTGTAAAATATATTCAGATATTGGTGTTTGTTGTTTTCTTTTAAGTCTTTTTATTTTTTTATTTCAACTTGAAAATTTATTAAAAATATAATTAACGTTTATCTTATGTTAAAAATTTTTGCTTCATTAGATTAAACTCAGGACCATACAAAACATTTCATTATCATGTAGAGTATAAAAATCGTTCTCTAAAGAACTTTATTTTCTACTAAAATTATTACTTAAAGATATATAATATTTTTTTAGTACCGGACATAGTAACTATTTTTGCCAAATTCCTATATTAATTCACATTGAATCTCTATGTAATGATAAAAATTCTATTACAGGAGAATGGTTTCAGAACAAAATATATATTTTATATAATTTTATTACTGTCGGATTGTTTGAATAGTCGTGACTTTATTGTGTTTGCATATTTTTTTTATGGTTATGTTTATATTAAATGCCTTCTTATTCTTCTTCGTATTAATTTCTCTGCAAAGAGTTTGAGGTTATCCTCAACATATAATATGTTACATATAATATGTATATCTACTGATTGGCTTAAAAATTGTCTGTAGTGTCCGAGAGAAATAAACATATTTTTGGTAACATTATTTACTTATTATAATGCCCATTGTATTATATTGAAATTTCTTTGATACAATCCATTTTTTCCGGAATACGTTCCGCATACAGAAAGGTTTCCTTGTACAATATAATTTTGATCCTATAGTCCTTTTATAATAGTGCCATAGTGTTCAGATAAGAATCGTTATTTAACTGAATTAAATAGCTGGACTGAAGGTATTATGAGTGCGAATATTAGTAAGTAGGATTTGATTTTGGTATGTTCTAGCCTTAATGTACTAACCGTTCTAAACATAGTAGGGACTTCGAAATAGTCTTCTGGAGAATCGACAGCCACTGCAAACGGAGCTGCGCAAATGTTTCTCAAGGTCCTCAACGCCGCAAGAGACAACGTGGCAGCCACTGTGGTAGACATGAGCGTCTTTGCGCTGTCTCCCGTGCACTCATTGAGGAGATTCCACACACCCCTCCAGCCTCCCACGCAAGCCGCCCCAGCCACACACGTACACAACCGCGATAGGACATAGTACATCAGCCTCCCTCTCTCAGGCTTCAGGAACTGGCTTAACTTGGTCTGACACACGCAGAACACAAGGTTACAGCACAAACCGAACGCTGCGCATACCGCTGCACTGCTGACGGGGTTTTCTGTTAGCACGTACAGGTCCATAAGCGACCAGGTCGACTTCCAGTAGGAGACGACGGCTGGGGCTACAACCACGCTGGCGAATACGATGTCCGCGAACTCCAGCAGGGCGGAGTGCTTCGTACTCGTGATCGTATCAGCGAGCCCGGCAGTGCTTCCACGCATGGCTGAGCTACGAGTGCCCCCTGCCGCGGGTTCAGAACGACTACAGATTGCTTCTATATAATTGTATTATCGCGTCCCGCACTCACATATATGACGTATTGTTTGTTGGGACGGGTTCCTCTCGATTCGTGTTTGCAGACTTTCCTAACAACGTTAGAATTGGAAAGATATTGATGATTAGGTACATCAAGCAGTGTCTATATACCTCTAATGATAAGACAGCTTTTATAGCTACAGCTACAGATATGCGAGAAGCCATGTATCTTACAGCGAGATAAGCTTGGTTATAAATATACGTATTTAAATGTATAGAAACACAATTTTATATAAGCCGAAATTTATAATGCCGTCGGGCGTAGAGTAGTTCAAAGTTAAGTAGCTTGACCGCTAGTTAATTTTACAAATCGTATCTCATACTCCACTTCCTTAGCTCTTCAGTAACGTGAGCTCATTCATTGACCTTGAATTATACATATGCCAAGCTAAGATTGAGTTGATTATACTCATCCTTTTTATTATAAATTAATATATTTGGATTCATCGATTCAATTAAAATGAATTATTAGTTAAAAATGGTTGTACAGTAACAATATGCAGGTACATCTTATAATTTCGTTCAATATTTGAGTGATGTGCTATTTTAATTACGTAATAAAATGTAATTAAATTGTTAAATATTTTCTTTTCAACATAAATACTTAAATCTTTGAAGATTCGAAGCAGTTTTAATATAGGGAAGTATTAACAAGTGATGCCTTAACGATTATCATACTTAGATGGGATTCGTACTTTTCGTTGGACCATATTCAGAAAGATACAGGCAATAATGCTCTTTATGAAACGCTTTTCTATAGTATTATTATAATATAATAAAAAATCTTTAAAATAGATCCTTATTATGTTCAAGAATAAGTTTCTAGTTAGTTAGTTTCTGCTTATTGCAGAGATACTTGCCAGTATTTTAAATCGCGTTGTGAAGAGGTATGTGTCTTCTTTTCCATCAGTACATAAGAAGTATGGAGAGGCCAAGAGGTTTCTTGAAGTACGGAGACAGGTGACGCTGATGTAGAGTATGAGAGTCAGGCCTGCGATCAGTAGTGGTCTGAGGAAATGAGAATTCTACTTTAAAATTGATCAGACGAAATGATGATTCTACTTTAAGGTGGTCTTTGGGAATGAGAATTTTACTTTAAGCTTCGGCTTGTTGTATATATGTATTGGACTATTATCTTGAGTTGCCTTAACCCTACTAGTATCATAAATGCGAAAGTAACTCTGTCTGTCTGTCTGTTACGCTTTCACGCCTAAACCACTGAACTGATTTTAATGAAATTTGGTACCGAGATAGAGCTGACCTTGAGAAAGAACATAGGATAGTTTTTATCACATAATTTTGAAAGGTTATCTTGGAAACGCGATATAACCGAACTCCACGTGGGCGAAGCTACGGGCGGAAAGCTAGTATGTATATTATAATAAGATCTAGGACTCGCGAGTGTTCATTATAATGAAACTAATATTTTCTGATTACAATGCGTTATTTTATTATTTCAAAACTACATATGTACTTTCGACGTTTCGGTTACTATGTAGCAAATTTGATCATCTGCAGATGAGATGAGTATGTCGGGAGTTTGTAGTCTTTTAAAATAATAAAATAGCGCTTAGTACTCCGAAAATATTGGCTTCATTAATCTTTAATGTTAATTGTATATAGACGTATGTTTATTTTAAGTCATTCATATTTTCAATTGAATATCAGTTGTTTGATGTAAAACGGTTTAAGTTATAAAGCTTGCAATTGTAGTTCGTTTCGTATAGCAGTAGATTCTTATTGTAATATGTGTGGATTGAAAATAATATTGTATTACTCGTAGATGGGAAAAAAATTTCGATTAGGAGGTGTAAAATACAGGCAATATATTTTTGATAGTATTCGGTCCTCTTATTACAGTTATACCCAGCTCATAAATCTTCCTAACCTATTTTATTACAACTATCCAGAATGAGAGTTTGAAAGTGTTCGCTCTGAAAAAGGGCGGAGTAACCTTTAGATAGACTTATACTTGGAAAATCAAGAGGTCATGCTTGTTTAGGAGACCAGGTACTAACAGCTAAGGAGTATATGTAGAATTAAAGAGAGAGAGGAGTTTAAGTAGAGAGATAGATTACGTTGAAAATATTTATCATCATCATTTAGCATTAAAACTATTTCATTTGAAGGAGCACAGCTGTATAACTCTTTGCCTCTAAGTATTGTCAATTCAAAACCTCTAAATATATTTAAAAAAGAATAAGAACCCATATATTATATGATTTGACTGATCTTGTTTAATATCACTACTGTTTATTATGTGTAATATCTTAATTGTAGTTATAATTTTTATAATTTCCTTTGTAAGCGAAATTTGTTCTTTTTGGAAACAAACTTCTTTAAACCTGAACTTCATCCCCTAAATGAAGTTTAAGCTTTACGATACATTACACACTCCGATTGATAATATGCTTACTCTTAGTTATAGCAACAATAAGACAAAAATTAGTAGTATTAATACATTATGCTGTTATTTCTAAGACATGGTGTTTACCTATGAGGATCTTCAACATCTGGAGTAATTGCATTAACAGCAGCGTCGAATAGTCCCCAACCTCCTCTCCAATGCATGATACAAGATATTAGAAATACGTAAGTGTAAATTCTGCATATCAACCGCTCTCGTAACCACCTTCCAGCCCTGCCTTCACCCCAGGCGTTACGGGAACGAGAGAAAAGGTGACTCCTGAAATTTTAAATCATTACATCTTTTAATATAAAGTGTATACTACGAGTAAACAAACCTACTTATGTTTGTATTGTTCAAAGTAATAGAAAACTGTGGTGCTACGAGAAAAATATTTACAAGTACAATTATGATGCTTCTGTTAATTGAAGTGTAATTGTAACGGTTATATGCTTTGCATGAGTAATAAATGCAGATATTTATGCAACAAATGACTTATTCCACGTCAGTTTCTACCAAAATCAAAAAAAATTAGTACGGCACGATTTAAATGTATATTTAATAATATTTTAATATTTAGTTAATTTATTTATTTGAATGTAATTATGTTTGAGTATTCTATTTTTCCAAATACTTTAGGAGATAAACTATAAATGTATAATGTTTTACGCTACTGGAACGATTTATATGTATGTATTTTGTTATATAACTAATTATTTTAATATTTGAATCTTAGAAGAAAATCATGTGATAAAAAGTTCAGAACGATGTTCTACATGTTTCCATGGATCCAAATGTGGTCTATACACTTCTTAGCAAGTGACAAACCTTTTATTATTATGTTTCAAAGATTTACATGGCAACTGAAAATATACAATTAGAGCTATTGTACCCACCTTGATACAGCAAAAGTGACGTGTATAACTATTCCTAGAATGTATATTTGAACGTAAGGAAACATCTTTGGTTGTAGTTCCATTATGCCCCAGGTTCCTTTCCATGCTATTACGACTAGGGGCGCCACTATGAATGTCCCAAATACAGCGTCACCTGAAAAAATAAAGTTAAAGGGCATAGACATTTACAATAAATGTTAGTTATGCAGTGGGGGCCACGACTAGAAGTTCCCAAGGTTACAACAAGGTCAGAGAAAGATGAATCATATAACAAAAGAAGTGGTAAACTCCAAACAAAATTAGGCGCCTCATATCTGAACCTGTTCATTTTGTTACTCCTTGAAGACGTTAATATAAATACTTAAGAATCAAAATTAATTTCTTCTGGCCATTGCCTTAATCTGCCAATAAAAGAGATCCTACTTATTAAATTTAAAATTACATTGCTACTAATAAATAACTCATTGTTTTTTTTACTATAGCAATCGGGAACCTTCCGATTTCGAGAACAAGGTAAGTGGTCAAGAATCAGAATGGTCATAATTCATATACATATATTATTTATACATACAACGCTGGTGTCCCTGTGAGGGTCATATTTTTTAGTAGGATCGCGCTTAAGTAACAATTCTTCATTAGAGATTTAAAACAACTACATTTTCTTAATAGATTTTTCATCAAATGAAAAAAAAAGGATTTAATTATTTTATTTGTTCGTCTTTCTATTTGACCGGCTTCATTTGATAAGGCTGAACGGATTTTATTATTCTTTGATTAGATGTTGGAATTTTTTAGGAAACACGCATAATAATTAGAGTACTCTATATCTAAAATAAATATTTTAAAATAAGGAAAATAACGAACTATACATTCTATCATTGCAACATTAAATATTTTTCACAACTATTCGTTTTATCTAATTTTGTTGATTTAACTAATTACCTCATAATATTTTGAAACAATAAATAAAATAAATTATAACGCATATATAATACCCTAATTAAGCAATATAAAAGGTTTTATTATAAAAAATGTATCTTTTACGACGGCATATTTGTATTGTTAGTTTGAGAGATAAAGAAAATCTTTAAATAAAAAAGGTCGTACGTATTACTAAAAGACGTGAAGGATTCTTCTTATACATCAGCATGAGTTTGTGTTTTTATCAATGACTGTTTTAGTAGAACGTTTAATATACATATACCCAGGTTTAAGATAAGTATGGTATAGAATGGTGATTATAAGCTTTATACTATATTTATATGTATTATATAAATAAACTTGACTTTTAAATGTCTCTGTTTCAATAAAAGTTTCTTCATCACATGAAAAAGTTATCCAAACCAAAATGTCTTTGAAACTTAAAACTATAAAAAACCATTATCTGGTACTTAATTCGCTTATTTTAGTTTTGATTCCAATGAATTGTCTAAGTTTGAAAGTAAATCGAATATTTTTTGAAGTATTTTTTACAAACATTGTCATTATCTTTAATTTTCATAGACACAAGCAAAGAATTCTTTCTATTTATAAACAGATGGTAGACATTTCTAACAACGCTAGAATATTTCACCATATTTCCTCATTTTATCGCTATAACAATGATTTTTATCTTATTTTTTTGTTAATAATAAAAGTATAATAAACATACTACATTATAATCTCATTGTTTGTCCACTTTCAGACACTCAAACACTATTAAACGCTTAACACAGATTAAAGTATTTTATGCTCCTTTTTCCAACTGAAACATTTCTAGATTACACATACTATGATTCACACTCGGTTTCGCTTGTTTGATAACAGTTTTTATTGAGAACCACACGTTTATGACAAAAGGTTATCTTCATTTTAATGAAGGGTTATTTAAACCTTAAAGCAAATTGTCACACAAATTAGATTTGTAATTAATGCATCATTGAGAAGTACTTAATATAAAATTTAAACAAAAGAACTTATATATAAAGTTTTCATAATAGTTTTCTTTTCAAGACTAAAGAACGACTCAGGGATTCATTTCTCGTAGAAATCAAATGAAATGAAATAAATAAATTAGATTAATGAGAAATAAGACTTTCGTAAGTATTCATATTTTTTTGTTACTAAAATGCTAAAAATTTATTTCTGGCGTATCGTACTACAGTGCTACGAATTTTTTGATCAACGCTAAGTGGTTTAATTTTCCATTCAACTGAACATTACTTTTTGCTGAAGTAATATTTAAATGTCACTTACTTTAACGTGATAAACACTGAATGCCTTGAAGTGACAAAAAGTTCATTGGTGAGAAACTTTAAATTCAATCGTTCTCGTGGTGTATTCAGTAAGGCCCAGTTTCACCAACTGTTTTTAAAATCTAACCAATGCATTTATTAAGGAACTTAAAAAATATAATTATCTGTTAAAATATTTACGTTTCACGATGAAAAATTTACATGGCATTATTAAATAACACGTCACATGACCGGCTACTCAATTATTCGTTCTTGTTATAAGACGACCAAATTGAAGTTAGTTAAATAGCGTTTAACACGACTTGTTTACAAAAGATGCACCACTTTATAACTTGATCATATATATACGCTACTTATTAGCAAAATTTTTTGTTACTAAATTTTATATATCGTTGATTGCATATTTGTAAGACAAAAAAGGTTTCCTTTCACTGTGCTACGAGTAGGTGCAACCTGTCAAAAAAAGAAGTTTTAATTCACTTTTTTAATGAATACAATATACCTAATAGTCGAAAATGATAAAAAAGATGACGTTATTATGATTACAAGAAATCAGGGCTGTGATTGGACAATAGAGTTTTGGCAGTGCATTAACAGTCTGTTAGACATTTGACGGACCTCCAGAGCAGGAATAAATATAAATGCCTTGTTAGGACATTTAAACAGACATTAGTGCGTGGTTGGCTGCTCGATACATCTAACAGTATATCAAACCCTTTAACAAGCCGTCATTTATTTAACATTGACTGTCTAAGTTAGTTAAACTACCCTTTCAGTAACAAACACTTTCATCTCGTATGTCTGTGATCTGTGGCTTTAAAGTAACCAAAACATTTATTAAAATGTACTGATAACTGAAAACCAAAATTTGGTAATTACTTTGTTTAAACACATTTCTCTAATCTCCTTTTATTTGGTTTATTTATTACAAGAATCATCTCTAATGTTTGATCTTATTTGCTGTCAAAGTATCACTGTTTGAAACACTCTTCTTATAACTACATTATATATTCTTAAACATGTTTTGTTTTAAGTTAAAATGATAATTTTATGGATTATATTACATTAATATCTAAAGGTAATTAATAGATGAGTTTGCTAAAACGTGTCAAACTATGTTAAGACTATGGTTTCTGCCGACATTTGAAATAAAGCTGTGTGCTAGATGTAAACAAAGAAACCTGTTTCGTTCTGTAACCTGTTTATACTATTTTCAACCTAATATTGTACGTACTAAGACTTATTCTTCAGAAACATTATATTTTATATAAATCTTGGGAATTATTCTTTTCTGTTGAAGGTGCACTGCACTGTGTCAGTTATAGAAATAAACTTGATATAATTTTTCAAAGAAGCAAAATTTAATTTTATAATTGTAATGAAAGATTTTAATTGGCATATTAAAAAGTTAGATATGAATTGTTTTATTTTAATATTAAAAAAATATTTGCAAGACTAGGCCTTTGTTTGTTTGGAAATATTTTGAGTCTTCATAATATAAGTAATCAATTCATAAATGAAAAAATAATGTATTATTTGAATGTTCCCAGCCATCGATGCGTCTTTAATTCATCATGTTAAAACATAAATTTAAATACTCAATCGAGTTTATATTTTACATACAACAAACGCTTCTTATCATTGTTTAAAATCAGATATTTAGATTAGACGATTTTTAATATTTTCGACTCGATTTAAAACTTAAAAATATTTTTATCATCAAAATTAATCTCGATCCCTATTTATTACGACCAGTTTACATACGAAACGTAACATTTTTAACATGCGTATCATTTACACATTAAAACAAGTTTAACATCGCCATCACAAATATAATATCAATTGATATTTTTAGCCTAAATATAGAAGTAAATATTGTACCTGGCAGTTTCCAAGCTTTAGCCAGGGTCTGCTTTACGTGTTGTGAATAGTTTTGGCTGTTTTTACTACCGGCCGCCTGGCTGACATCAAGTCTCTTTGAGAATGCATTAATCAGTGATGTCTAAATACTCTCTACTCGCCCTCGTGCATAAGAGGCGGGCCTTATAACCACTACGCCACCACTGACTTAGAAGTATATATTATTATAGAAGTAAATATTATATCTTTACTATATTAACTTTTACAGAATTTAAAAGACATTTGAAAAATATTCCAATCACTATAAACCTTCACTGTATTCATAATACTATCTTTTTCAATATTCCAGATTAAATATAAGTCTTTCTATATAATATTATATTATATTACCAAAATAATATCCAGCTTCTTTGCAATTCGTATGATCTTCTTCTTCGACGTCATCTTCTACGCACTCCTTCTCTTTTATCCCCTGGGGGTAATAGTCTGTAGTATTGGTCTGCATCTAGACACATATAATAACATTATTTAGAATATATATAATATATAGAAGTACTTTTAAAGTTTTAAGTAATCAATGAAAAGAGACTTCGTGGTTTTAAAAATAATGTAGCAGTAACACGTTAAATTTTACATCTATATAGTTTTGCTCGAGAAGTCAAATTGAAGAAAGCCTCTATCTTTCTTTACTTATAGTATCTCGGAGTTTCTTTTTTCTTAACAAAACTTTTATCTTCCTTAGATTGCTATAAACAGTTTAAAGAAATAATTCATATACATAATCTCTGCTTTCTACTGAACTTTGTTATAAAAATTAAACAGTGTTGAATAAAATCATTTAAGCTTGGATGCAAAGAGTCTTCCTAAAACTATTTTTCCTACAATAATAATAAGAATATCATTGAAAGCTCATTGCTAGGGAAAGGTAAGATAAATATATTAGCATATATAATTGTTTTATGTACTATATAAAACGTGCAACGTGCGATAGTTATTATGTGCTTCTATATAATTATCTATGTAAATCTTAATCTGATAATTGTTAGGCGATCCTGTTAGAAAAACGCTGTAATAATATAATAAAAATTAATCATATAGAATAACTTAATACAAATATTGCTTCAATAATGATTGATTACCACTATCCGTCCTTTAACCGAGATATTAATTAAAATTTTGATTTCATTGCAATAAATCAGCACAATTGTATGAATTAATTATTTTTTTTATGTATTTTCCTTTCATTGTTCTTTTATTTAAATCGAAACAAAATCATTTCCGACAGCCGTGAAAGGTAAATTAGTTGAAATAATAATTCTGAAGTTTTGAAAAATACATGTGTGACTCATATAAGCAAATTAAAATCACAATAATCTTCCACTTATAATATTTGATTAATTGTAAACATTTGCTTTTAAATTTTTAATAAGCAATTGATATTACTTAAAATGCCTAAATCTTAGACAATTCAAACCTTTCTTTTGAAATATGAACGTCTCTATATATTTTTCAATTTTGTCATTTTTAAAAATTATCTTAATATTTCAATAGTGTTTTTATGTTCACGTATTCTTTTTATGGAATCCATAATACATGTATTTATTAATATTTATATTTAATATTTGAAATAGTATATATTTAATATTTAAAATGACTATAGACATTTTAATGTTAGCCAGAACGGGTTGGTACAATATCTGGTTTATAACTCGCTTTTCATGACAATAATTAGAAATGGTAATTTAAAATTTACATAATAATGTGGGCCTTTACACATTTGTATATATCATTTGTTTTACTTACTACTTATGTAAGAAATTTTGTTTTGTGGGCCTGTTGTCTATAATTAAATATTTTGCAAAATTTTACAAAAATTTTCCATTGCAAATTTTCCATTTCCGAATGCAAATAAGCACTTAATAAACAATACTTATAATATTATTTTCCTTGTTAAAAATTAATTAAATGAAGAAATAATATTAAAGAATATTAAAACAACCTCTTTTTTAGGTGTATAATTTAAGGAGAAATAAATTAGAATTTAGTTTATTTCATTTATTATAATTTTATATACGGCTTAAATTACATGCATCCATAACTTAAAAGTTGTTTTTTTTAAAAAAAAGCTAAATTTGAGGCAGTGCTTTTAAAATATTTTATGTATAATTCTTTTATTTTTAATACGCACCTTAAATGTTTGTTTTATCGATGCAGGTTTCGTCTCGAAGTCACTTTATCACAACGATGATCACGACGATCTCGACTGTTCGTCCTGATCAATGTTTAGTGGGAAACTAAAATCGATGATGGAGATAAAATACAATGTGACATAGCCGAGCCAATTGTGATCTACGCTATAAAAAATATATCAGATTTATATATAAGAGCAAGGATTTAAAAAATCACAGTATTATCTCATAATTTTTACAACTCATGTCACAATCACTATTTTATGTAAACAACAGTTAAAAAACCGTAATAATCATGTATCTGATGTTATTAATTTCATTTACTTAATGACATTTAATTTTTTTTTCGTATATCTATTTTAGTAAATAAAAAATGGTTTATATTTTCTATGTACAATAAAACCTTTATTGCATCTTAAACATTTTATCCATGTAGGTGTATGAGGAAATTTATTTTCAAAACCTGTTTTAAATCTTGAATGGTAAGATTACATTTAATTTAATGCAATGTTGGTACATCTTTGATATTCAAAACTCATTTATATATGCCTGCATGCGAACTGTATGCAGTTGTTTTGTACATGCTTAAGATAAGGTGATGCTTCTTGCTAAAATCGAATTATACCTCTTAACGAGGACAAGGTAATTTGTCTGGACCTAATTTCTTTTATGCTAAAGGGGGCAACCGAGCAGACGGCCTACCTGATAGAGATAGTTGCCTATGGATATCAGTAACATTTCTTATGTCGCAGATGTGGCGCCACCTTTGATTAGGGAAAAGGGGGAGGAAAGAGTGGGAAAGGGAGGCAAAAGGAAGGTGTAGGAAAGGGTGGGATGAAGGAAAGAGCAACCGGCTCTCTCACTCATCGGACGAAACGCAGCCATTAAATACTACTGCACGCAGATCTTCTGTGAGAGGGTGGTACTTCCCCGGTCGAGCCAGCCCATATTCTAGCGATAATAGCTAGGCTCTACCACCTACACAGTTTTAGAAGATATGAGGAAAAAGTTTCGTTGTCTTAATAGACTGAAACATTTTAATGATTTTTCTCTATAAATTCTTTTACTTTACCAGATATCGTCCTTGAGAAGTCTCGAAGTTTTATGATTGTACTTTCACTTGGACATAGGGCTATTTTGGCTATTTTTTTTATATACATGGGTTGACAACGAAGATTTTTTTACGTTTCCGACAAAATATACTTATAACATAATAGTAAATAGTGTCACTGAACCCTTAATATAAAATCACATTGTCAATCATAAAAAAATGTATTTCGGGAATTTAAGAAACGTATATAATATTAAAATTATTCCTAAAGAGGGTTGATGTCAGGCTGGCAGCCGGTCGTAAAAAACAATTAGCCAAAACTATCTACAACATGTTTTGTGGAAGAGTTACTTCGGCAGACCCTGGCTAAAGCTGGGAAATTGCCAGGAAGAAGAAGAAGAAGGAGTATATAATATTAAAAGTCCATTTTAATATTAACAGGTTATGACCTGTTATAATGTTGTATTAAAGTAATACTAAAGCATACTTTATAGTTTAAACATACTTTATACTTTAATACAATCGTTATTCATGAGTTCTTCACACCGGTACGCATTTACAAGTCGAATTGTCTTTATAAAAGGTGTCCCAACAAGAACGCAATTTTTAAATTTTAAATAAAACACAGATATTTAAAAAAAATATCGTGAAACTTTATTATATCGTAAAGTAGATAGAATGAGGTTATGTATGGAACAAGATATCGTGCAGATAGCCGCCGCGGCTTTGCAGGCACACGCGCGAACTTTGAATGAAATTTTCTAGGACCGTTTTGCATAAATACTGCGGTATTTCATTAATACAGCGTCGAATTTCCTCTTTTAAGGCTTGAGTCGTCGTCGGCTTATTCGCGTGAACCATCGACTTCAAAAATCCCCAAAGAAAATAATCTAATGGTGTTAAATCGCACGATCTAGGCGGCCTATTCTGGTCTCCAAAACGGGAAATAACACGAAAAAAACAAACAGTCAATGGTGTTCGATATCGTGAAATGATTACCAGTTTTTTCTTGCCTAGAATCGAAGAAATAAATGTGGACTTCATGTGGTTTCAACAAGTCGGCGCCACATGTCATACAGCCAGAGAAACAATTCAATTGCTGCATCAGTCATTTCCTGGTCGTGTTATTTCCCGTTTTGGAGACCAGAATAGGCCGCCTAGATCGTGCGATTTAACACCATTAGATTATTTTCTTTGGGGATTTTTGAAGTCGATGGTTCACGCGAATAAGCCGACGACGACTCAAGCCTTAAAAGAGGAAATTCGACGCTGTATTAATGAAATACCGCAGTATTTATGCAAAACGGTCCTAGAAAATTTCATTCAAAGTTCGCGCGTGTGCCTGCAAAGCCGCGGCGGCTATCTGCACGATATCTTGTTCCATACATAACCTCATTCTATCTACTTTACGATATAATAAAGTTTCACGATATTTTTTTTAAATATCTGTGTTTTATTTAAAATTTAAAAATTGCGTTCTTGTTGGGACACCCGTTACATATTACTATACAATTCCATGCTAGGGTATAACGTTGTCAAGTGCAAAAGTGTTTTATATCCTTTTAAAAAATTAGCCAATATTCAGATGATTCATCAAAAGAAAATTTAAAAATAAAACATCATTTAAGATTAAAGTTTAGTTATTTTGGGTATAATCAAAAAGATAAACGTCGGTTCTTCAAATATAACAGCGCCAGTTATTTACGAACATGTCTGATTACTATAAGCTGTTACAACAAACAAAATTAAAAATACATAAAACAGAGTTATAAATTTATAAATTTTTATAAGCTAAATCACTGAACTGTTTGTCTTTTAAATTGTAAAAAAAAAAACAAAGCAAATCTAATAGTAAAACTATAAAATCTTATCATCATATATAGTCTATGTTTGCCTTGTCTATTCCCGTTTGTGATTTAAAAAATACGTTAATCCCACAATTTACTAAGATGAATGAAAACTATTGGAACTTTTTTGGTTGTAGATAATATAGTAGAAAGTTTTGTGTGATAATATTGTAGAAAGTTGGAGATTCTATGGAGATTGGAGTTCCTGAATTCACAGGTTGCGCCTCTGGAAATGCGCGTAAATTAATTTTGTAGCACTTGCAATTCGTTAATTACTGAAGGACAAGCATAGGTGAAGCATACGCTTGCTTATATGGTTGCTTGCTTGCTTATATGTTACACGATATGGTTGGAAGTACGCAGGTCTTATTAAGTGGGACTTTTTTCTTAGGACATTATACGTAAGATCAAGCGGTAT